TTCGATTCGCGACTCCTGAAATTTGCGTGACGTGAAGAAAAAACAACGCGCGCGAACGTTCAACAAAAATGCAACAAACATATTTAAACATCTATAGGAACAAAGATTTGAAATACCCCAATTTATACGCGAAATTCGACTTCCTGCACAATATTGCACCTTTCAAAAAAAAAAAAAAAAAAAAAAGGAAGAAAGAACAGACAATAACGCATGCGGGGAAACATTTCGTCGAAACTTTGTGCGAGGAAAAAAAAAGAAGAAAAAACAACCAACGAGTCTCGAAAGACCGAGACGCCGGCAAACGGCCTCGCTCAACAAAGAGAAAGTACAACTCATGCAGCACGTTCACGTAAAAAGCGTGTAGAAAAATCTTTGTAACCGTCTTTCTGGTCGGCCGTTCCTAGTTCGTTGTCTAGCTTACCCTGTCCGACTGAACGTTCTTCTTGGAGTTCCAGCAGAACTCGAGGATCGCCACCACGATCGCGAGCGCCAGACCGCAGAGCAGCACGACGAAGACACCGCCTGGAATGACAAAACCGGAAGCTCATTATTTTAATGCCGGCGGGTCTGGCTCCTTCGTTTCTCCTCTAATTTCACCGAGGGAGACGCGCGCTACGCCGCGCGCCGCTGGCAGCCACGAAGTACGACGACGACGGGGGCGTGTTTGTCCTCCACCTCGGATTCCCTTCGTGCTACTTCATCCGCCTTTGTGGCGCTAGTTTGTCGGAAAGCAAAGAGAAGAAAAGAAGAAGAAGAGAAGAAGAAGAAGAAGAAGAAGAAGAAGACGAAAAAAAGTACGACGAAAGAAAAAAAGTTCACAGTGTCGGTCGCGGAAAATCGTGCGCGCAATATCTAAGCGAAAAGCGCGATATCTTCCTCTCTCTCTCTCTCTCTCTCTCTCTCTCTCTCTCTCTTTCTTTCTCCCCCATACAGATCGATCGCGCTGCACTTTTTGGCCGCTGCATCCCCCCTCCCGTGGGAAAACTTTGCGACGGAGTATCCGCGAATAACGAACGGGCGAATGGGGCGTGCGTGGTAAAACGTATATACTGATAAATAGCGGGGAGTCTTTGTATTTATTGCGATGTGAGAATCGTGAGCGAAACCGGTGGACTTGGGTGGAGTATTTACGCTTGATGTTTTGAGAAGACGTTTATCTAAAGTCACGTTTGAAAAAAAAACGAAATAAAAAACAGTACGCGAATGCAAAAAAAAAAGTATTAATACCGATAAAAATTTGAACGAGTTTGTTCGAAAAACCGAACGAAAAAAAACATTTAATTTCCGCAACTCGGATTGGTTTTTCCGTCCGTCTTTTTCTAGCTTAACCAATTTATTTGCTCTCTTTCGGGTTATATTTAATGAGCAGATCGATGTAAAATATCGAGTCTTATCGACTAAAAGTTCGGGATAAAAAGCGCTTTCGTTAGTAAACACACTTTGGAAAAACTTCGTCCGTCGTCCGAAGTTTATCGATATTCCCGTGATCAGGGGGGTTGAGATTCGTATATCTTCCTCGCCGATCAAAATTACGACGCGCGAAGTTCGCCGAATTTTTTTTAGGTTCTATCACGCATAGCTTCGATTGAAAGAGACAAGTCGAGTGTGTGTTAGCCAGTTTTTTTTCTTTTTTTTTTTTCAACAACGTTTTTAAAATAATACTACAAGGTTTTCGCTCGATTTTTCTTCACGCGTTCCCGCGTAAATATAATTATACAATCGCAAACTATTTCCGTTTCCAATTTGAAATGAAATACGGCACTGCATGCGCGCGGAAAAGTCAAAAGCAGGTGAAACTTCGTTGAATGTATTATTTCTCTTATACGTCGACGTGAGAGCGGTTTTTTTTTTTTTTATCCCCGCGGGGAAAACTTTCGGCTGTATATATTTCAAGCCGCGGAGGCGAAAGAATAGGGTGAACGGAGTAATGTAGGGCGCGCGAAGGCGCTTCTCTTTTTGAGCGAGCTAAAAAGTGTCCACTTATCGTTGACGGCGAGACAACTGAGCCGGAATCCACGTGGGAGGATGCGAGGGTAAGATTTGCATAACTACACCGTTGTGATTTATGACGACAGACGTCCGGACGTCTCGCCGGAAGGACGAAAGTTTCTCGCACGAGGGGGGGAGGAGGAGGAAGGAGGCGCCGCCACGACGGCCTCGCGCCTATTTCGCGGGAACCCGATATCAAAACCGTGTCTCGAAAACCCGGCGAAAAGATCGCGCGACGCGACATCGCTCTCGACCCGACCGATTCAAGTTTCGCGGGTCGAAAGTTCCGCTGCTCGCGCGACTCAAGTTTCAAGTCTCCGGGGAGAAGCGCTTGACGCGCGAACTGGGAATTATCTAGGACTCAATCATTCTCCCGAAGAGACTGACGGCTGATCCGAAGATTCGCGGAAATCTGTTCGGGGACAGAAGAACGAGCGGGAGAGAGAGAGAGAGAGAGAGAGCACAAGGGCCTTAAGTGAATTTGAACAAATGTCGTTATCATCTTTGAGCTTCTCTCTACGACGTGATTGATTAATTTTACGTCGAGGAAAAATAAATGCAATTTTTATACAAGGATGAGAAAATATATGTCGCCCTCTTCAATTTTTTTTAATTTCACGTGGTTGTCTTCTGTTTACCTCGATTCTACTTTTCGAACTTTGACGAAGATCCTCAGTGTCGTTTTATTTCTATTTTTTCGCAAAGGAAAACAAAAGTCAAAGCGAAAATATACAAACACAAGTTACAGCGAGTACATAGTCGATAAAACTTTGCGTTCGTGGTAATTTCATTCCCGTTTTCTCATCTCTTTCTCTCTCTATTTTTATTTGTCATCAAAAAGTCGGTGCGCAACAAACGGCAACATTAAGTTCAAAATAAAAAAAAAAAAAAAAAACCATTATGCGACGCTCTATTGATATTTTAAAAATTGTTATTGAAAGAAACGAGAGAAAATGAATTTTTGCAGAATCGCGTGAAAAATGTCGCTTTAATAAAGCGAAATTCACGGGCTTTCACAGACACGGGGGGAACACAGCTTATATTCTCTAAGATAAGATTTATCTCGAAAAATCTTCAAAGCTTTAAAGAAAGAGAGGAAGCCAATTTATATTGTACATTTCTGTCTCAATCGCTTTGAAATTATTAAAAGAGCTTTTTCCCTCGGCCGGTGGGATTGCTTATTCTTATAAAATGGCACGATAGAGAGGTCAGCCGTTCATTTTCCACGGCAAATAATCAAGACATCAGAGAGAGAAAAGTGGGATTAGCGATTCAACTGTAATTTCGCGAGATTTTCGCGCCGCACCGGGACGGGGATTCGGCTCCTTTTCTCTTTCTGTCTCGTCGAGTACATTTACACCGTCGGCAAAATGGGTACTTATCCAAGTTACAGGCTACGGCGGCCAGAAAGAAACGGCGCGAAGGAAAGGGGAAGCGGAGTGAATGCGGTAGTGTAGCCGGCAGAGTTTCTTCGTGAGGAAGAAGACGAGGGATAGGGGGAGAGGGAGGAAGAGAAAAAACAAAGAAGGAGAAAAGCGGACTAAAGCGCGCGAGAACGGAGAAAAAAGAAACCGGAGGGGGAAACTTGCTGTGACTTCCATAAAAATTGCAAGTGGTTTCCGAAGAAGACCCAAGAAAAATTCGTCCGCGAACTTCGCGCGCGATTCCGCCGCGTCTGTGAAAATCTCTTCTTTTCTTCGCTCCCGAACTCTGCTCCCTCTGAATTCGCTCGCGCGCAATTGATTAAACGTTCTTTTGATTGACTAAAACTGTTCTCTTTTTTTGTGTACCGCACACATCTGAAAACAATCGAGTGCTCGAGTGGGACCAACAAGAAGTTCTTGTTTTTATTCTCCTTCTTCTCGAAGGGTTTTTCCTTTCGCAAATATTTCCTGTTTGCGCTTATATTTTCTACTCTTTGTTTTATTTTATTTTTATTTCTAGTATCAAAAAAAAAAAGAAAAAAAAACAACGAGACACGTGTGCGTGACTTTTCAGCGTTGCTACTCTCTCTCTCGTGAAATAAACGCAAAATCTCATCGTCGAAATGACTGGAAACTTAAAACAGGCGTGTCGGACACGCGAAAGTTATGACTACTGAACGCGCGACTCTTTTGCGCGCATGTCCTTCCTCCCCGCCGTCGATGAGATTAACCGCAGCTGCGACTGAGTTACACAACAGACAGGGAGAGGGTCTGTGATTTAACATCCCCCATATCGCGCAAATCTGTTTTGTTATTGATAAAACACGAAATATACACGGGAGTTTCCATATCGCGCGTGCATATATTGACAACTTTAATGAACCCGATAACGATAATTGATTGAGCAGTCATTGCGCAACGGTTATGAAAGGACTGAATGTGTAATCAAATTTGCGATTTTAACTTCGTGTTGGAGATTAATATCAATCCGCAATCCCTACGATACGCACCGCGTTTATGTGCGCAATCACTGAGTGAAGTACTTCACTCTTGCAACTGGGAGCCCAGTAAAATTAAGATTTTGAGATAGAATTCGAGATATTCGCGAAAAATTGTTTTTTTTTACCTTTGACCCTCTATAAAATTTTACGCAGGGATTGTATCGATGGAGACTTTTGAGACACATTGTTTGAAACGATCAAATAAAGATCCGTGCAAAAATTCAGCTTGTTACTAATTTTTTCGCAGAAATTTCATTTTTTTTTGTTTAATTCTATTGGGCTATGATATCTTTTCGAAGATTACGAGCCGGTTGTTCCACTTTCAGATAAAGTATCGGGTGATTTATCTATAATGGTTAAAACTTTAATTTGCATTGTTTCACGTGTTGGTAAAATTTATATATTTGGTAAACGACCAGAAACCAAAAAATAAAATTAGACGGCACTATCATGTAAGTCGTATCTAACAGATAAATATGTAGAAAAAACAGTGGGAGATGCGCCCAGTCAAGTTCCTATTCTATAGATAATAACCTGTCGAGTAAGCTGAGATTTTATCGAAAGATGGAAACAACCGGCCCTACGTGATTTACCGGCAATTAATTTGCGAAATAACTTAAAAAAATATTTTTTAATAATAATAACAATAATGTAAGCGAATAAGTGATAAGAGATAAATTTCTTTAATTTTATTATATCTGTCGCGCAACTTACGGATTTCGCGTCCGTGCGGTTTTAACTATGCAATTTCAACCGATAAAAAAACAGATAATTTAGACTCACCAATATTTTCAACCCCGAGAGCGTTAGCCTTGCTCTCCTTATTCTTGTCGTCTCTGTTGCACACATCGCCCGTGTTCTTCCACCATTTATCGTAGAGAATCTGTATTACACCTTTTTCCTGTAGCTCCAGAATAGCGAGAGATATTTTATCCCTCCAGGGCGAGCCTGCATATAAAAAGCCTTCGTTAGGCCGGTCAAGAGTTTCGCAATTTCCTTCTCGTGACTCGTGAGCATACATCTATCTCTTTTTTTATTCGTTACATTTTACATCGCACATGTTGAAAACGCGCGACAAATATAACGCGCGTTTCAAATATACGACGAGTCTTAAAAAATTCCCGTCGATTTGCGTGTCTCGTTCACGACCGGAAATAAGAAATTTCTTTCGCGCGCGATGTGTTAGTTATCAAGATATTTTATATGTAGAAAAAAAAAAAACAGCTCTTTTTTGTTGTGCATTTTCCGCCGGTTAACAAAGTCGAGTAATTAAACACGGAACCTGTTTCAAAAATTTCTTTTGTTATTAAATTTACACTCGAGAATTATCTTTAAATTATAAATTTCTTTACGTGTTACGTATCTTTAATTGCGTTTACCTTTCGGAGTAGCGATTCCGTATCCCTTGCTGTCAAGCAGACCCCCAATTTGCGTCAGATTGCAATCACGTTGCACGGCGTAATCAAGCATGGTCGATTCCATTAAAAACGCGTAGTCACCTTCCAGAACCCTCTTTATTCCTTCTTCGTACGACTGAACGAATACGGATGGACCCTTTGATTCCATGAACCTCCACATCTTTTGATAGATGCCAATTTTCGAATCCTGCGAGATTAAAGCGAGATTAAAGCGTTCAATTCCGAAATTGCCTAAATAGTTCTTCAAATTTTATTTGGCAACGCTTTTGAAATAAATTTCGAGCTTTTAAAGTTTCATCAAAAAAATTTATAATCGAAAACATTTTAATTTTTTAAATAAACAATAAATAAAACGCGCGCGTCATCAATAAAAAAAAATTGCATTGACGTTTTTCATTCAGATCTTAAATTAAACGCTTTCAACGAATGAAACGATCGCCTCTCTCCTCTCTCTTTCTCTCGTTGCCAATTTCGAAGATATAAATTGAGAAAGTTTTTTGCTCATTATTTCGCTCGCTAATTTACCCTCGGCTCGGAGTTCGCAATATAACACGCGAAATTTATGAGAGCGATATTTTTGTTTAAATGCAAATATAACCGCTCGCAGTTTCTCGATGGAACATGTGGCGAGCATTTAATATCGTTATATATATATATATATATGTTTGTTTATATATATAACAATATTATACGTACGATATTTACAAAAGTATATCTTTATACATACGTCCCTTCACTTTTGCGAGTTTCTAGCAGATTTAGTGGCAATATGTCTGTCTTTTTGCATTTCAGCGCAAAACAAATGCTTCAATATGTTATTTATATTTTTACGCACGCACATATTTTTCCAAAACTTTATTATGTTTTTCACAGATTTAACCTGACACATTTTGCTCTGTCCATTACGACCATTTTTTTGTTTTTATTGTCGTTATCAAACTTGATATTAATCGACTTTTATTTCTACAAATTATATAAATAAATATATATATATATTCTAAATTATATAGAATTTATATACATATATTTAAAAATTATTTAGAATATATATATATATATATATATTTTACATTTATTTCCATTCTCCCGCCTTCCTCTCGCCGAGATGTGTTCAAAAAAACGCAAAACCATTATGACGTACGTAATGAGAAATTTTTGCAGAGAAACAGCATTCAAAATGCGTTGCGAGTTCACATCAATAATGAGTTTCAAATGTCAAATGTGAAATAGTGATTTTTTTTCTACTTACTCTGAAAAACGTCATCGTGCTCCCGCCCGCCAGCGTGCCGTAGGATATCTCGGTTTGTTCCGCGAGATCGGCGGCGTTCTCTATCGGCGTGATCATTCTCTCGACCGTCAGAAAGGCGGCCAGATTTGCGGTGTAAGACGAGATAATGATCAGCGTGAAGAACCACCATATACCGCCTACTATTCTCGTGCTAGTGGCCTGATAACGAGGATTAACACCGTGTCTTTAACTCGAATAAAAAAAAAAAAACACTTGCTGAAACAATATACTGAATTTTTTTTTTTCATTCAGCTCTGCCGCAATTGTTACACGGATATTTTAAATTCGGCATCTCCGGAACGTTGATTAACAACTCATATTCCATTTCGCACGCTTTAATGCGCTTTGAAAATCACGTAGGTATTTATTTTATATTTCACATTATATTAATTTTATTCATTACCGTTTTTTCACATTAATTTATTAATATTATTATTAATATTATTAATATTATTAATATTATTTACGTTTCGATTAATTTATATTAATTTGTTCGCCGAAGAAGAAACCAATTAGTGTAATTTAATGTAATTTAAAAAAAAAAATCGCACAGATATGTTCGCGGATTATTTTAGATAACATTTCCGTAACATTTTGTTTCAACGTTCAACGCAAATGTTTTTCGATCGATTCAACGTAAATATTTTTCAGCGCTACTTTACTACGAGACGCGTACGTTTCTATCTTGAAGGATCTTAGGAAGATCACTCGAGAGAGAACGCAACCCCCTAGAGCGAGCAATGCTAGACTGGAAATCGGAAAAATGCTGCATCGGGGGTCTTAAGATTCGCTGACACGATATATATAGATATAATATTTCGATATCCGTGAAACCACTCGCGCACGTCAAATCGACAATTTTTTTTCTCCTCATGTTGTTTGCGAATTGCAAATACTGTGCGCGCCACAGAGTCGGATCTGTGCTAACACAACTCGAAGACAACCTAGCAATTTTAATTTCGATAATATTCCACGGAACAGTTTTTGACGGTAAATCAGCGTAGCCGGGAACGCGTATAATGAACGCGCTTAATGCGTTCCGCCGAATATATAATATCCGTGTGTGTGTTTTGCAGCTCTCTCGATTATGGTTCTTCCGAAAACAATGCGATCGCTTATTACACGTCGTTTTCGACGAGAAATATTTTCCGTGCGCCCATGTACACGCGATATTTCACGTACTTAATTCGCACAGTACATGGCGTCGAAATCTGGATGATATTTTATGCGCGCGTACATCTGCGCGCAACACCGGAAAGAAATGAAAAAAAAAAAAACAACAACAAAATAAAAAATAAAAAAAAACAAACACGGAGAATATGTAGAGCACTCGCTATTTGCAATATTACAATACATATCCCTTCCTGTGAGCCTTCATGCGCGACTCTTGATAACACCGTCGCGTCTGGTTGACATGAAACACAGTTTACTGACACTCGAGACAGTCGTAACGACAACCCCGCATGTACATACGTGCCACCAGAGTCCAATTAACATGGTGTGTAATATAGATACCATAAATATTTGTGTGTTCACATACATATGAGATATTCTAGCTCTCTAGCTGTATCGCATTTGAGATTTGTTTTTATCTTCTACCTATATATTTTTTATCTGTAGGTAATATATGTATATATATATAATACATAATACATAATATATTATAATATATAATACATAATATATAATAATACATACAAGACTTAAACTGTTTACTTTAATACACGTCGCGCGTGTACTTTTTATGTTTTCAGTTTGCGTCTCAATCAACAATATTCTCACTGTTCATTTTTCGTTTTTTTTTTTTACTTTTGAAAGCGAAACGCGCCATAAAACTTCGCGCCGCGTCACAAACGTGGAAATAAAACGTGAAAAGCCGCGTATATTCCGCAAAAACAAGATGCCACATGTATATGTATCTCTCTCGTGATGATTTATAAGTTCAGATGAGTTGACTTTATGTCCTAATGATTTAGCGATGTGATAAGCGGAAACGTTGGCCACAGATAATGGCCAAATTTTATTATGCACATCGAAATTAATGTTGTTTAATCAAATATGCGCGTTTCCTCTATTTGATTGCGTATTTATTATGCTCGTCATGTGTGTGCGCGCACGCGCGCGTACATAATTAAAATTGATTAAATATCTAATTCGTTTAAAAATGTAGTTTAATATCTCTCGCGTTAAAATAAATAATTATTTCGCGTTATTTATATTCACGCGGATTTATTATGCGGCAGATGATCTTATATATTTTATTATTTTTGCACGATTCTTGCGCGAGTAAATCGCTACTAAAATATAATGAACACAAATCAATTGCAAATAAGAACCACCTTTCTTGATTCACTAATCGAATAGTATTGTTTCATCGCGAAACAGCACAAACTTCAATAAACGATCAAAGAAATATTGCTGCGTGTTTAGCGTTGCTGCAAGCAAAAGCAGCAATTAGCGTTCGGTGCAAATTGATATCAAGCATTAATATAATTTCTCTCGTCGACTGCTGAGAACAATAATTAACACGTGCAATAATTAGTATGTTATAATTCACAAGTAATTTTGAAATAAAATTATTCAGAGTAACGGGAAAATATTTTGCGGCAACTGAAATATTTTCGCACACTAAGCAATTTTACATAAATCGGAACAAATGAACAAATTGTTGTGATAACAGAAGACAAATGAGACAAATGCTAGAAACCATTAAGGAAATGGACGTAACACAAATTAAAAAAGCGGTTGACTTATATGTGCATGCAGGGCTGACACATGTGTTTCGCGGATTATCTCTCTCTAATTAACAACTAATTAAATTTAGGAAATCTCTCTTGTTTGTAACACATTCTATTTTCATTCTATTTTCAATGATGAAAATGATTTTCAATGTTCGCTAATGCAAATCCGACTAAAATTGTTCATTATCGAAACTGCTATATCTATCGAGTTATTCGCAATTGAATTTATTGACACGTTCGATTATTACGTACTCGATATCCAATATGTTGTTGTCCGTATGTTTTAAACATTTGTGCGCGCACGTTTTTGGAAAAACGCGCGTGAGCGCGGATGAGCGAGACTTCGAGAACGAAATCTCGACGCGTTCACTTGCTCTATTTCTTTTTGTAATCTTCGTAAGTACGCGTGCGACTTAAAATAACAAAAGTACTACTGCGAATAATAATAACGGACACTTTTGTTTACTTCAAATGTTTCCATTGTTCGCAATACCGGCGCCGTCCCAGTTCATATTCTTTGCAAATATAATTGTTTGTTTTTTTATTTTTATTTTTTATTTTTCGCAATTGACGGAAGTCTATACAATACAATATTGTGCACCACTTATTGAAAACCAATTGCGCCCTATTCATCCGTGACTGAGAGCATCATTAACGTGCCTTCGTATCTATTCGTATTCATGAAAATATTATCACATCGTGCATAAGAAAAAAAAACTCAATATTCAAGCGAAGAAGTAATCAAGAGACGCGCACACAATTTAAACGATAAAAGAGTTGACGTAGAAAAAAAAAAATGAATTTGTCATTTGAGAGGATGTAAAACAAATCGCGTTTATGTTCTCCGGCAGGTACCAAGACAAATTGCTCCCGAAGCTACCGATTGCCGTATCTTTCATTTTCCGCGAGATATTCCCGAGATATCGCTGCTAATAAAGTTTCTTCTCCCACTTCTCTCTCTTTTGCTCTTTTTTTTTTTCTCTCTCTCTCTCTCTCTCTCTCCGTACGTTCTTGAACAGAGCAAGTAATTTTCAAGCGTATATACCTGGTAGCTATTAAGAGAAGAAGGAAACCTGCTTCGCGTGAAAACGGTTTTTGCGCGGCACAAATGCAGGACACAAAGAAAAAGCGCAGACCGGCAAAAAAAACGTGAGCGCTCGTTACGCCAAACATTATTTTGCGACTAAAATCTAGGGATCAATTTTCCTCCGATGCGCTACAAGAGGTGAAGTTAATATCGCGGAAAAATAGAGAATAATAATAATAATAACAAAATGTTCTCTCTCTTGTTGGTTTTCGTGTGATTATTAATAATAATAAAGAATTCGCAAACTTATGTAATTTTGTAAATTTTGTTATTAACGCGATCGCGTACGTGAGATATTTGTTCGAAGCACACAGATACCGAAGGCTCGCTTAATACGTCGAGCAACTCGGTACGTTTCCTCATAAAAAGAAACTTTTATCCGAAATATATCGTAAAAACTTCAAGGGATTCGCGTTTGAGTGAGAGCATAATATTAAGGAACGACGCAGGATTTTACGGTACCGGAATGTCCCCGCCGTTTCATTTTACGCTTTTGATCCAAAATTTGGACGGAGCTCTCTCTCTCTCTCTCTCTCTCTCTCTCTACGATAAAATATTTCATCACTTTTCTCTCACTAACGTGTCATTTAATCGGGCACGAAACCTTCAGAGAAACGCGGACCCTTATATATACCTGCGCGCATAAAATTACCCTTTTTTCTTTTTTTTTTTTTTTTAAGTTCCGTCGTAAAAAAAATTCTACAAAACTGGTCTTTTGAATCGCGGATCTATTTTCACGCGGCGTGAATTTTTGGTGATTTAACGAGATTATTTTCCGTCGAGTGAGTGTGTTCTCGCGCGCGACTTTGCGCACATTTGTTAATGAAAAAAACATTTATTTTTCCGAAAGGGCACTTTTGACTCTCTCTCTTTCTATGGTGGCACGTTTACCTTGGGGTTGAGGTCGCTGCCCTGTTGCATTAGCGTGCCGACCGTAAACCAAAAGCTGTTGGCCAGGCTGAACTCGTTGACGGTTCTTAGCAGCGGTATGTCGTCGCTGTCCGGGTCTAAGACGCTCACGTGACTACCCTGATGACAGTCCCCCGCCAAGTGGTGCAATTTCAGAAAATAATTAGCGCAAAAAAATCTATAGTTTCCTATTTATAATTAATTTATAGTTTCCTTTTTATTTTTATTTTTTTTCAAGTTAATATTGTAGAAAAATTTAAAGTAAAAAAGAAAAAAGAACATTTGTGTTACTCCAGTTTGTCATTTTGTTGTGTAAAATGCTTCTCTCTCAATTTTTATGTTTATATACATGTTTTTTGCATATAAAATTTAACGCGCTTTTTGAAATACACACAACGTCATGAAAAATGTACTGTAATTAGCCGCATTTCTTATGTTTCAAATGTTAAAACAAAATTTGCGCAGCGAAATTATGAAAATTAGCGAGACGGTTATATAAACCGTCGTTTTCTCATTAATTAATTCAGCGCAAATATTAGCCGTGATTTATTAATTCGACTGTTTTAAGATTCGGTTTTTGCATCATTTATTAACATTCACGAATTGGAGAATGAGAATTATTTTTCGTTGAACTCAATCGATCGTTTTGCACCACGCGGCGGGGGCGCCCTACCTGCAAAGGACATTTGCAGCTCGGACAGGGAGACGGCTCCACCCACTCGTTGGGCGACAGTCTTGCCACTATCCATATTGTCAGGGAGACCATCACGTAAGCGCCCAACAAGGACAACCAGATCTCCACGGCGAGGGGATTCATGAACGAGAAGAGCCGCGTTGGCGTGCGCTTGGACACCTGAAGCAATGACAATTTGTTTCCGATGTTACTTAGAGAGAGATAGACCATGAGAACCGACCTAATTGACCTCGATTACATTTCGATGTCGATAACATCGCAAGCGATGCACGACGAGCGATAAATCACGTACACATATGTGCACACGTGTGTGTGTGTGTTGCACGGTTTCGCTACGAGTTGCAACTTCAATCGTCGAGAGTCGTGCTGAAAAATGATTCGGAGGTGCGAGAAGCTTATATAACTCTCTCGCGCCGGCCATTTCTACACAATATCCAGTTCCTCAAATGGCTCGAAAGAGACGATTCTTTATTTCGATGGAATTACGGGGAGCGTATTATTCTCCGAGCGCGTCGGGCGGAACACAATGGCGGCGCACTACTCCGCCGGGCGCGAATGCAATAAGTGTGTGTGCTGTGCTTTATTTTTTTATCGCGCTAAACTCCCGCGAGAGGCAATTGAGATTGGGAGATTTTAAGACACGAAATTCTTGGGAAATTTTTTCTTTTGTACAGATATAAGAAAGAACGGCCAATAATGGATTCTAAGTGATCTAATTTCGACCGAGCACGCTACTTATTTTCTTGAAAACCGTAATTTCTATTCAAACGTATTTTTTTTTTTTTGAAAGTAGCTGCAATTAGCAGTCACGTATTCCGATTTTTTGCTTCCCCATCGTGGAGATTGGGAAATAAGATAATTTGAAAAATGGAAATAGAACTGAAATATTTTTATACAAAATTGTTTTCCGCGCGCATAATATTATTCCTCACGCTAGATTCTCTCTCTTTCTCTCTCTCTCTCTTTCTCCTCTCTCAGCTGCAGCTCTTCTTCGCTCTCTCTCTCTTTCTCTCTGTAATATTGCAAATATATGACCCGCAAAATAAACAGGAGTAAACGAATCGTTGTGTAAACATACACGTGCTGTTTGCTCTCCGGCGAGAGATGATGGATTTATATATGCGCGCGCTCGCTTTGTGAATGACGGGAGTTCGTGTGATGTTCGTGCGTGGCGAACGTGAGAAGAACGAACACACGTCAGAGACGAGACGCGGTCCCGGCGAAAACGATCAAGAAGAGGAATGGAAGAGGATGAAAAGTGAGGATGGCGGAAGAAATAATATATGTAGTTCCAATGGCGGAGCACCTCGTTGAGTGTACCTTGGGGTTGAGCCCGCTGCCCTGCCTGAGGAAGGTGCCGGTGATGAACCAGAAGCTGTTGCTGACGCTAAACTGATTCTCGACCACGTCGCTCTCGGCCAGACACGGATGCGGATTGTTCCACTCGTACGGGCTGAACCGCGCCATCACGAAGAGGGTGAAGCTCACGAGCATGTAGGCGGCGAGCACGTACAGCCAGATCTCGACCGCCAGCGGATTCATGAAGGAGAAGAGCCGCGTCGGCTGACTGGACGGCACCTAAATTACGTCACGCTACGATTTTAATTAAAACGGATCCCGTCTCGTGGCGGGCGCGATGCGACGCGACGGAAACGCGCGCGCCGCGACGTTCCGAGCCGACGACGACACCAACGACGACAACGACGAGGACGACGACGACGACGACGACGACAAACGCACAAGCGTGATCTCTCAGACGTTTTTTTTTTTTTTTTTTTTTTTTTTTTTTTTTTTTTTAAAACGTAACCTTTCCTCGCGAACTTTTGTTGAGACAAAAGAAAGAGAAAATCCACGACTTGGTACAAGACGAGAGATGCGATAGGTATACATTTCATCATAATTAAAAGATGTGATTGAAGTTATTGTTAATTATACAAACACAACACGCTTCGCTTCCGACAAACGTCGCGTGACAAAGACGTCGTCTACGTTATGTTCATGTTCATTATCCAGTCTGCTTTCTCTATGGCGCGCGATAATAACGATACGAAACGCCTGTACGGAGTCGCTTTTATGTACAATTTACGTTTACGCAACACGCAACGAGTAAATGTAATTAAGAAATAGGAGCTCCACAGACACACTCACTCTTTCTCTCTCTCACACGCGCGCACAGAGAAATCACACGTATACTTTATTTTAAACAAAACAGATAATTGCATGCAGGCACAGATGAAAGAAATACGAAGAACCCCGCGGAGCGCGGGTAACTCACCTTAAATAAAATTCCAATCCCGAGGTTCATAAACGGCTTTGTGAAGTCTATTACGCTTTCTCTAGCGTAATTAATCGTCATGGAAGCAACCGCTAGATCCGCTCTCTGGAACAAAAAAAAGAAAAAATACAACATCCAAGAGAATTGAACGAATTAAATTTACTTTCCTCCTCGGTAGGGTGAAGTCGTATAAAAACCTCTCTGCGCGGCGGGGTCTGTGTTATCTGAGAGAAGCAATAGCGAATTAACATTGCCCGCGAATTAACGTTATTTTTTTATCAGAGAGAAAATCAAAGCGATTCCCACCATTTGTTTCTTCTCCGAACGAGGCGAGCGTCATCGGAAACACAAAAAGTCAGAGAAAAATAAACAATCACGTGGACACATCTTCGGATATCTTGCTCCTCGAGGCGTAAAGAAATCGCGAATGAGAGCGTCACAAATTACTGATAAATCTTCGTCGTTCTTCAGCTTCGCAAAAGAAGGTTTACCTTGCGAGATAGCGAATGCATTCTTCATGAACGAACGATCGTCGCCGAGCTATGAAGCATCGCTCCGCGCGTCATCCTCCGTTTTAGAACGTCCGCCTACGGTTTCGCAGGTTTCCAGGTTAACGCGTCATTCCTCTTTCGCGAGAGGCGGAGATTGCTTTGCATGTTTTATAAACCGCTGATCTTCGGTATTCAACGAACGCGCGCCGACAAGTCGAGCTGCAAATTTCGCGAAATATGCGTTTATCTTTTGAGGCTTTCTTTTCAAAACGCGCTCCCACGTTAATGCGAGTCGTACAAATAACGTTTTACACACGTATCTCGCGTGCTTGTGTATGAAAATGTATATTTTAAAATGCTTTGAAACACAGCAGAAACATCTCACTCTCGCAAAACGTACATTCTTGCATGAGTTAAAAAAAAAAACTCCCAGAAAAAATCTAAAAACGATTTGAAACCGATGACTTATTAATCGCGTGTAACGTAATATTACATACGCTATTGCATTACGAAAATAATAACGCGCTTTAATGCGATACACACAATCAAATGTCTGGTATTGAAAAATTTATCTCTACATTATTTGCGTTAATTTAATTTTTATTAGAAAATAATGGTGCAATTGTTAAACGTGAATTAAAAATAAGTTTAGAAAAAGAACTGAATAATTTATATGTCACGTAATCAATAAAATACTACAATATGTCATCAAAGGCATTGCTGATAAATGCACACGTGTAAAACATCATCACGTCAGCGAGCAAACGAATAAAAATGAATTTGAATAAAAATAAAGAACGCTTTATCGTTGATAAAAGAATAAAAAATTAAATCCAAATTAAAATTCAAAAGAATGCAAAAAAAAAAAAAAACGTGCGTCGCACAATCTTATTTCACGTATGAAAAAACTGTCTCTTGCAGCCGAATGTTTAAATCATCATTGTTTGCATTCATTCTCTTTGCGAACGATTGATGAGAAAATGTTATTGCAAAAATTCGTTTTTACACCGACTGTACATACAGCTAATGGAATATTTTTCTCTTAAATTTGTTATTACCTCGCGCGCCTTGACGTATCATACAACGTTTGAATTAGACACGGGGGAGAGATCATCAATATTGGCCGTATTCTCACTAACGCTATCACCTCCCCCCCCTCCATTCGCTTCTACGCTAATAACATTTTTGCAAAGCAAGAATATTAAAAAAAACGAGACCCGCGCGTTTTATTGGGATTGCAATTTTCGTTTTTTTTTTTGTGCTCGCGCACATTTCTTCTTTCCATCACATATATTGCGCGCTCCCGCGCGCGTTTTAACGATTCGCAGCGATGAAACTCGACATCCGAATAAGAACCTCTTTCTTTTCAGAGGTTTTCTTTTTCCGTACGCATTAGCGTGATCCCCGTAATGTTTTCGGTTTTTCTCTGAAGAGTTCAACTTGGGTATATATGTACGCGCGCGTATACATATCTTCCTCTTTCTTTGCTGATGCACGGACGCGGTCGCATATGTGAAAACAGTAGAAAGAGAAAAAGAGAGAGAGAGAGAGAGAGAGAGAACTATTCTCCCGGTAACGGAAAGAAAACATTTACTTTCCGTTTGATATGTACAAACGTGGAAAAGTTAGATTTATGATCAAATTTTAAAGAAAATTGTCGTTTTTGAGAAAAACATCGACTCTTACTCTTGTTTGACAATTTTTCATCGATCTCTACTTTCAAAGCGGAAAGACGAATGTTAAAATATTTAACTTATATTTTCGTCCGTGCGTACGACGATGAAAAATTTAACGATGTATTAATAAATTGTTTATCAATATCAACAGTACATCGCAAATGAAATTTGTAATCGAAAAATGGTAAACATTACGAAATAATAATAATAAACGTTGCGATCTATGCGTGTTCTGAGTATACGATATTTAAACGCGATCTTGTACACAGTAAACAAAAAAATTTTTTAATTTTAATTCGAGTGGATTTCCTTCCTGGGACGTGTAAAAATGGTTAAAAAATACCTCATTCGTCGTGTGTCATTTATTGACAAATTAGTAATGTAATTGTTTTTTTTTGAAGTACATTTCTTATGAATTATTGTGACTATTTTCCCATGTAGTTTTTGAATTATTTTATATGTTATTTTATTTTTACATTACTCAAAATAACAAATATAAATGTCAATTATTTAACGTTACTAGTTTGTCAATAAATGGCACACGACGAATGAGTTACTTTGACCATTTTTTGCACGTCCTCTCAAATTAAAATTAACATTTTATTTTTTTTTACTGTGTATCACTTTCACATCTTGTTACCATCATAATTAATACATAATAAGTGTTCCGAATATTTTGCTAAAAATTACATGCTGAAGCCGAGTTTAATTATACGGCGGTGAAGAGTAAGCACGCGCTATCGGTGAAACAATTTTCACTTTTTTTCGCTCGATTGCAAATATTGTTTTCGCAATATAGTTTAATGAGTTTAACATAGCGCAATAATTACTCGCGCGGGTTTTAATTTGCGCGATGGTGGATACGGAGAGTGACGCGTGTGCTCGCGCCCGCTTGCGATTATGCGGATCGTAATAGATCGACGGCGACGTAAATTAAATTCGCAAAGACGCTCGAACACGCGCATACATCAAACTTTGATTTTTAATAACCGCGCCATTTTACCAATTCAAATAACAGCAGAGGAACGGCATCTGTGCGCGAGTTGATCTATGAATCGAGAAATATCGACCGCGCGGGCAAAAACGCTTCATCCGGATAATTCCTGTATCATCCCCCTACATACATATGTAATTAAATTTCACATGGGACGGATTTATTGCGCCTGTGGAAATTCGCTTTGCTTTAACTGCAAAATCAACCTCTTAGACCGTGTGGTTTCCATTTTCTCTCCCTCCCTCCCCTTCACCTCTTCTTCTCAATGTTTCTCTCAATATAGCACGCCGCGTTGGGAAGTTATTCTCCCAAGCAATATCTTAACCCTTCGGCTTTAAATTAATTTCTGCGAAGAGGAAGTTAACACACATTAAATATATGTTTTCTACATCTCTCTCTCTTTCTCTCTCTTATCTGTCTTTTTTATGATATATTACTATATCGAGTTTACACAAGGCTGCACATATTTAATTAATCGCGTGTATCCCGATTAAATTTTTTTTTCGCGACATTTCTCAAATTTCTTTCTTTTTTTTTTTTGCACAACGTCGTTAACAGCGTAGAAGGCGTGAAAAAATTCTTGACCTAACTCAGTTTATATATATGTTAAAATCGAAATTGTGTTTACATAATACTCTGCTTTATAAGTTTATTTTCTATCTCCGTTATTTGTTTCTTTCCAACATTAAATCGTCAGAAGCCGGGACGTCATCCGCGCGCTCGTAAACTGTATTCGATCTTTCATTATACATTTAAATTGGCTCAGTTCTTGACCTATTTGTTAATTTGTTTTTTTACTCATTGTTATACAAGCTTGTTATTTTTAGTATTTACGTATTATATTTCTTTATCTACTTAAATTATCAAATCAGAAAAAGAAACAAGATTTATATATCCAACTTACCTTCTCCATAAGCTCGCGCACGATTCCATTCCACTCCTTCGTCTCGGGATCATATACCCCGTACATGTGATCGGGCACCAATTTGATCGCGTACTGAAAGCCGACCTGATTGGCGATCCACTTGAGCAAATCGATGCAGAAGCCCTCGAACCTCGCGTTGCCAGTCAAATTCTTGTCTTCCTTTACCATGACGTAAGGTCTTTCCTGCGGAAGATTGGATTGCGTTGATAGATCGCGGAATCGTGTGTGTGAAGCTCATCCGTGACGGAGAAGGGCAACCCTTAAAAGTCCTTATTTCCGCGCGAACAAGTCATATCAAAGGTGCGGGAACACGAACGCGAGCGAGTTCTGTGCGAATATATGGCATTCTGATCGCTTGTCGCTCAAACATTTCTTTTTCCCCAACGTCCATCATGAATCTTTCATTTTTCCGAGAATACGATGACCATAAAAAGGATTCCCTTCGATCAGGATTTTTCCTTTGATACGACTCTACCCGACGGCTTTTCACACATAAACGCCCTCACAAATCACCTTCCAAATTCTTTTATTTTTATCGAAATGACGAAGTAACATCGTATTAAGTTTTGTTCTCATGTTCTTTTTACCATCTCTCGTGTTCTTTTTTTACGCGTATAAAGTAATTTGAAACGCGTTAAAGTTTCCTTGCCATCTATGTGTTATTACGCGCGACCAATTTTGAAGATTAGCATTTACATAATTCGTAGTTCAAACGACGAGTTTCAGTTCAATATTTATAAACTGGCAGCAAGTCAAAAGAATTTTAATTTTCCGTTCTCTTTCACGCACGGTCGCTAGAAATTATTTCTGAATTCATGCACACGGGCTTGCGCACGTTGTGTCGAGTGGCTTAAAACGTTGAATACTTCATCTCCGCGCGACATAACAAATTTAGCCGGGGGGCCCCGTTTAGAACCGGCTTTCACATCACCGTGTAATCAATGTTCGCGCTATGTACCCCCCGTCTAATGATTAATTCTAACGGCGTTGAGGGTCGCTAGCGCTAATTTCGGCTGCAAGATGTTATTTACCTCTCTCGTCATCACTACGAGGGTAATGTTGGTCGCTGTGGTCTCGTAAAAGGCGTCCATATCTGTGACGTTAATGCCGGATCCGGATTTCCATTCGCCGACTTTGACGAGCTCTTCCTTCTTCAGCTTCAGAAGGTCCAGTTTGAAATTGTTTCTCTTCCCGTCGTTAAACTCGATATGTCCGGTTAGTCCGTGTAAACCTGCCTGCAACAGAAACACTCGTATTAAACCCGAATTCCGAATCAATTTATTCATGAGAGTTTTTTTTTTTGCGAGTCTCTCTCTCTCCACCGTTAAAACAAACAACAATGAAGAGTTGTAACGCCCGTAAGTTTTGCTCATTCGAAATCGACCGGTGTAATTTTCGTTTTGTTTTTTATGCACTTCCGTGATCCGCACAGTTCCCGAGCAAAATTTTCAGCTTCCATAAAGGAAGCGAGTGGTATGTTAACTTTGCGCTTTCATGAAAATGCATGTTATGCTTAGCCACATAAATTTTCCCAAGTTTTGTATCTCCACTATTTAAATATAAACGCGTGGAACGCGTCGGAAATTGCATTTTTATGTAAATAGCGTTGTCTCCGACCGGTGACGATAACAATATCTCGAAGAATCGTAAAACGACGACGAGACGATAAATAGAACCCGAGCGCGCACAAAGAGATCGAAGAATAGGATAAAATCTCTTGTCGTGCGCAACATCGGTGTAACTGCCGTTTTAACGACGACGCATACGGTATATACGAATTCATCACGTTCGTTATATCACGTGTGCGTCTGATTCCCGTTAAATTTATTTTTCCTCTGTGTCCGGAAAAAGCTCTCTCGCACGTACGCGCAAGCGCGCGCGCAACACACACACACACACACACGCACACACATCACGCGCGAGTGAATTCATTGCCGACGGCCTACATTTCCGGATGCAGCCGGCGAAATTTTTCGCATTAATTACCGTTCGCGGTCTACCGACGCGCAATTTATTTGATTTATGTCTCTTTGTTTTTACTTTATATTTCGACTCCGAGATTTTTTGAAATATTCGTTCAACGCGCGCCGTTCTTTCAAAAAACACATTTGATTCCGGGGATTCACATAACGTGCGATTCATAAACTCCGCTTCCGATTTTCGGTAGAAATAATTTTCTTTTTACAAAAGAGAGTTTCGGTTTTCTGATTCTATTTTGTGTCGTTGAATGATTTTCAATTCTCAAAAACAAGTTTCAAAATAACAACATTAATCATTGAAATAGATTCAGAAGTCGTTTATTCAGATTGGCTGAAGATGATGATCGAATAAATGTGATCAAAACGTTCCTGAAATATTAAATGTGTTTTTCTATCTCCTAATTTCATTAAAACGAATTTTAGATATCTATTTTAATCGTTATATAATTTTCGACATTCTAACTTCTGGTATTTCCTTATCGGATCGAAAACAGTTTCTTCAACGTGTCTCGTGTGTCTAAACATCTATTAATATTCTCTGACTTGAAATGTTGCTCGTCTTTACGTCGACTCAAATGTGCGGATTCCTCGAGTGTTATGACGCGGGCTGATATATGCGTGACCGTATCACTTGAAAAGTGATACGTCTCCCGCGTGCTTGATCTCTCCCACTCGTAATTCCTTGCGGCGAGGGGTTCGATAGAGACGCCAAGTGCACGAACTCGGAGTTTACTGCTACAGGGAAAGCTATAAAACAATTGATATCGCGTCCGCATTGAGAATTCGAATGAATTCGGTTGGTATTTTCGGTTAAAAATTTAATACAGTCCACATCGGGGAACGGAAAAATCAACCGATCTAAAGGAAAATAATTTCCAATTGTTTTCGCAGAATCCTTTTACTTTTTTATGGGAAAAACACTCTTATAAATGAAAAAGCTCTTCTTTTTTGTACAAATACATACATCTGTATAGAAGATCGGACAAATAACAATAGGGTTTTTCTGTGTGTTTTTCGCGAGTTCTCGATTTGTTTAAAAATAACACACAAAAGCCGTATTACTGACAAATTTAAATCTCGTTTTCAGCTTAAAAATTTGTTATATTACTTTTCTCTATATAGAGTTTGTATATCACCATAACGAAAAATTTATTTTGATCGTGCAGCAAATTTTTGTTACGTATTTTATGAAACGGCGTAAAATTCTTAACACAATTTGCGCGCGAAGGGCAGCGTTCTGAAGCGCAACAGTTTTCGCTCGCCGGTGCTCCCGACAGTTATTTTTAACAACGTAAATTTGCGCTCTTTCTCTCTCTCTCTTTCTCTCGGATTCTATAAAACGCACGCTGTCAAATTATTTTCCTGAAGTATCGTCAATTGTCTTCTATCAGTCAATTCCTGCAACTGCCGAGAATTTTAGCACTGATTTGACGGACTGAATTTTTTTCAACTGTCAGCGACCGGGTATTGCCGAGTCGGGGCGGGGAATCGATAAATTTTCCACCGCGCGATATCTCGTCAGCGTCGATGTCGACGAGAGAGGCCGCCGTCGGATCAAAAATGCGCCGATGTGCGCTGAAATAAATGGTAAGCGCGCCGGAAGTGACCGGTGCGCGGAAGTGTCCGCGTATTTTTTTTTTTTTTTTCGTCCCGCGCTTGACGCACGTTAATTACGTCTACGCGTCGGTGCGCCACACGTGTAACGCCATCACGTACACAATGTGAATACGCACCGCGGGGGATATCTCGCGGAAACATGTTGCTGCCGTCGCGCGCATGTGGTTTGCGTGTGATGATGTTTGAGAAAAAAAAAAAAACAAGAGAGATAGAAACAAATTGATGCTAACTGGAACGAACAATTTAGAAGGGAATCGACGCGCATTCAAATTGTTCGTTGTCCTCTTAATTGGTTTCTGCAATCGATCGCGTGGGTTTGATTATCATTATTAGAAATAATAATCCCGAACGCGCGCGGAGAGAAACGAGAAAGAAAACGAAAAAATCTTCGTAGAGAGAGAGAGAGATTGATTGATTGATTGATTGATTGATGCTTTATTTGTAAAGCGCTCTGGGACAAAGAGAGAGAGAGAGAGAGAGAGATGGATTAAGTCTATCCGCAAGTTTTTTTTCTACGCGCAAAGAATTTTGCTCATCGCTTATTCTTACGTACTTCGCCGAAGTGACCATATTTCCATGTCTATTCGAGTTCAGAATCGGGAAGTATATTGGTTCACACTTCCGACCCCTCCGTCTATACGCTATCTCACGTGCGGGTGAGAATAGCGAGTTATATTCCCGTCCCGCGGCCGACATAAATCCATTTGCAAGCATTCGGTATAACATAGACACCGCCGCATTGTTTGTACGTTTGCTTATCCGCGGCTGATACGAAGAGCATATTGGAAGTAAAGACAGCGGTTGTTCGCGCGCGCGTTCTGTGTTACGTCGGGGAACACAAGTGGTGTTTTCGCACTTCGCGTTCTCGGACGTACATTTAAAACAATGCGACGCAAACTCGATTGTTGCCCGTAATTGCGACCGTGTTCCGCGCATCGTTAAGATTTAAACGATAATCACGTCAGAAAACAAATACCTCGGGGGAAAGAGTAAATTTCGTGTAATTTATGATGATAACAATTTTCGATTTTCAGTTCGCACGCTTTTCGCATCGAAATTTATCGCCAAATTAAACGAATTTCTTCACAAAACGAATGTAAATATGCAAGTGTACGCATATTGACGGATTATGACGACGCAATGCGTAATGTTTTACTTATTAGCATAAACAAGCGGTTTTATGGCAAGCGTGCATTAAAGTATTATCTTTGTAAATTTTCCAAATGTGTTAACTTTCCAACATATTTGCAAAATGATTGTTAATTAACAATGTTAACATATTCGGGAATTATTTTAATAAAATAAACAAACTTCCAAAAACAACGGCGGTATTTTTTCATATCGCGTGTAGTTTTCTTCTCGCAAAAACATTTTATGATACAAAACAGCTGATTAATCATTTCGTAACTTCAAGTTTTAGTCCTCCGTTTCTTAGTCAAGTGCATTTGCTGCGCGCCCCCGAGTTCTCACCGCGTACAGTATGTATATATATATATATTTCTACACTTTTAGAGTGCCGAAGCATACCTGGAGGAATAGGTGAAAAGCCACAAAAACCGCCTATACTTGCTGAGGTGCATTAATCTTGTCGCTTTTGCAACGTGTTTCGAGCTTGCGGTACTCGGCTCGGGAGGAGTGTATTGACGCGTTAGAATTTTCGAGCGTGTAAATTGTAAACATTATGTAAAAATTATGACGCAATTAATATCTCATTTATTAATGTTTCGAGGTGAATAACGACATTATATTTTTACCGACACGACGAGAACAACTTGTTCAAAATTTATGTTATCTTCCATTATTTACGACGTTGCACCACGATTAATTTTGTAAAAATAACATCGTCGATATTTTATGGTGTTCGACTGTGAGAGAGAAAGAGAGGAAGAGAAAGAAGAGAAGGAGAAAGAGAGAGAGAGAGAGAGAGAGAGAGGAGAAAAGCCACTGTTAACATTCCGCTACCGCTCTCTCTTGCTTAATTTAAATGCCGGAATGGTAATAGCGGCTTCAAACGTTAAGCCGGGGCCCGTTACTCTGACGTTAACCGAGGTTACATGTACCTTGATAATTCACCCGTGACTGCTCACTTATTTACGCAGCTCTGACTTGCAGAATGACAGAAACGGGTACACACGATTATTCTGTTAATAGGATACGGTCACGTAGGAAGCTGCCAATTTCCCGCGTTGCGCGAGAATTTAAGCCCATATGGGCTCGCAGCAACGGCTGCGTTGGAGTGTATAGACCGCGCTTCGCGGTGTGTGCATCCTACTATCTCGTTGCAGTCACGCTATTTATTTCGGATTTAACATGAAAGAAATGTCGATAACCGACATGCCGGGTGCAGTGACGTTTTAAAAAGTGTCGCGACCGCGAGACAGCGCACGGGAGAGCACGCGGTTGATATTTACGAACGAGTGGATGCTACGTGAAAGGTACGGGACGAGTAAACTTATCAGAAACTTTTATAATTTCAGCAATGAAAGTCTCTCTCTCTCTCTCTCTCTATCTCTTTCTTTTATTCTGATGGTCTCATTCTTTTTTCTTCTCTCCGCGCGGAAAGACGGACATTTTTCCATTGCCTGATAACGCTGCGTGACTTAAGTAGTCTGCTGTGCGCATTCGAATAATATAAAGATTGTCCCACGAGAGAAAGGAGAGAGAGAGAGAGAGAGAGAGAGAGAAAAAAAAAAAGAAAAAGAAAGAGGGAAAATAATACTCGAGAAACCAGCTTATATCACCGGAAAATATTACGCTTCTCTCTTCTTCCTCTCTTTCATCGACGATCATCGAGATGCCGTTAAAACAACCGTGTGACCGGTAAAGTTTCGCAAAATTGTCACGATTTACTACAGTTTTTTTTTTTTTTTTTTTTTTTTTTTCAATTCTTCGCGACATCTTGGATTATTCCGAACGACCCGCTTCGAACTTTACTGCGCGCTTCCAATTTTCTTTGCTGTCGTGGAAAAAGAGAAACTTTTATAATGCGCCGGAGAAAACGTTGCGGAAATAATTCACAGGAAGTTCTCTTTGTGTAAACTTATACATTCCTGTGACACGCAAAAGGATGAAACGTTGTTATGCTTCCGACGTTCATAATTTTATTCTTCTTAAAACTTAGCGAGCGCGTTGATTTTGCTCGCGAAATATCTGCGAAAGACGATAAACATCATATTTGAAAGATTGTTTTTTAATCAGATCAATATATCCTATATAAAAAAAGCGATCTAACAGAAAAGCGATTTTGACAGTTCATCGTATACGTAGAGAAAATTAAAAACGTAACTAAAGTAAAGTCACGACAGGAAAAAGTAGAAAAACAACACGTGAAAATAACGTGACTGTAATTTATATTATATATAATATTAAATAATACATATTATACATATAATTTATTATATATTTATAATATTATATTTTATATTGTATTATATGTATTATATACATACTACAGTAATGTCACTGACCTCGGCCGCGCGGCCTTGGCGGGGTCACTGACCCTGGCCGGGTGACCGCGGCGGGGTTTTTGACTTCGGTCACGTGATTATTGTATATATATACCCTAATAGGCAAATTGTGAAAATATTACACAAAAATGGCATCATGAATAACGACGATTCTGAAATTATTGCACTAAGATGATTCGCCATAACGCAACAGTTTTGTCGAAATACAATTTTATTAATAATATTTGTCAAAAATTGCGAAAAAGTCAATATGCATTTCCATAAGTATGAATATGAATTAAGTTGATTTCTTCATATGTGTGCAATTATATTGTTACATATTTTAAACATCATATATATAGCTGAAATTTTTTTCTCAATTAGACAATTTCTTTTTGAAATTAAGTTTGCAAAATATACTGTTAAGATGATTCGTCATATCGTTATTCTTTTGCCGAAATAGTATTTGAAAAGTAATTTTGGAAACAACTACAAATATTTTATAAAAGATCAATGTTTTTACATCTATTTTCTTAAGTATATTTATATAATTGCAAATTACAATTTTGTGTAAGATTTTGTCACATAATTTTGTAAATGTTTTCCTATCAGGGTATATACATGTGTGTATGTATTATATATAGATATAGAATATTATATATAATATGTACAATATTCTCTTTTTTACTCTTTTCCTTGTCACGTGACTTTAATCACGTGTTGGTTTGTTACTCCTCGCTCTCACTATTTTTCGAGTTTGATTTTAATGCGTTATTTTTATATGGTTGTAAAACGTATTATACTAGCTGTCATCGCGGTGACAGGTTGTGTTCACTGACACAACACTGTTAAAATAAAAATAATAACAGCGTGCGCGTATAAGCGCGCCTGTGTTGCACTAATAAGAAACAAAAAATAGAAGAAAAGTTTGCCATTTTTTCAAATTGTTTGAGCTGCGGGAAATCCGATCTCCAATTATTTTTTTCTCCAGAAACAAAGAATACCCTCTTAAAAACGTTCTCTTTGCGTTGCAATCAAACCGGATTTCAGTTCATCCTCCCTCAACGAACAGGCGTGAGTGGGAAGGAAAGAGAGAGATAATAAAGTTCAAAGACGCCCTGGATTTTAAACTCGCCCTGTCCCTCGTAATAACTCCAATTTGCGACTTTTTCGAATATCGCAAATAAAGAAATACTATCGCAAACTATTCAAACAGGATCCCTGGGAAAAATTCCTCGGGATCGTTCTCGGTTAATAAACGGGAAAAAATTTCCGGAGAAAATTTCAACGCTCTCTCGTCGCTTAATTTGCCATCGTCGTGACTAATAGGGGAAAGTCCAATTCCAGTTGCACTTAGGTAATAAAGATCCCCTTCGCCCTCCCCCCCCTCTCCCGTGCTGCTCGGCGAAGCGTCTATTCATGAGTGGCACGTACGCGGAGAGTTTACGTACGTGTCTCCCCGTGTGACGCGGTCGTGCATTCGGGATGGTCACCGCACGCGGAAAGCGCGGGCCACGAGACGACTGAAGATGCAGCTATTTGCTAAATACGCTGTTCAATTATTCATGTGCCAACGCTGCTTTCCTTCCGTCCGTCGTCGTCGCTCTCCAGTGTCGTCCCGTCGCGTCGCCGAATGCTCTTCGTTCGCAACTGCGAATTTTGTGAGCGAAACAACAAGTGACGTATCAAATAATTGTTAAATGTTTTCAAAATTTATATTCTCTTTCATTTGTTGAAATTTTAACACGAGAGATGCGCGTGACACATCTTGTCGCGAACATTTTACGTCGTACTTATAAATAATAAATTTTTGCGTTAACGCGACAGCTAAATTCGTATCGATGATATTTAGCAACAACATATGTATGCACCTTTTTATCTAAATTTAAAACATAAATTCATTCCCGCGAGTATTTTTCGAAAAACAAAAAAACCCGACACACGTATTCGTAGCACGTACAAAATTCGTTTCAGTTTATGTTTGCGGTTTACTAATATTAAAAATATACGCAAAATCGGAGGTTCAATGAAAATCGATGTATTGCAAATATCCATGTATCGCAAATATACATGTTTTATATCGTTATAAAAGCCAATCGCATTTCATTTGCAAAAAAGCACTACATCAAAAAAAAAAAAAAAAAAAAAAATTGCAAAAGATAAAATTGAAATTTTTCGTAATATTATGTATTAAACTGTGTCCTAATTGTTTTGCAAAATTCAAATGTTAAATTACATAGTTAAAATAAATTCAATTTTAATGTAAATGTGTTCTAATAGAAAAGTAAAAATTTTTTATCACTCTATTTGCAAAAACAAAAAAACAAAAACTAAAAATACGTTACAAAGAAAACTTTGTAACGTATTGTAACTTGGCATTATTACCGTGTGTGCGGAGGAGTTGCACGATTGCGTCATTTAACAACTCGTTTGATTAAGATTCACAGAACGTACGTACGGCATTAATATAGTTGTAGAGCGATAAACCGTCGTCCCACGGTTCCTCTTTCTCGCAGGACAGATTTGCCGGTCGTAAATCGTGACTACGGTCCAGAGCTGCCAATCCGTGCGCGAAAACTTGCACGCTATCATACACCAAAGCTGGTTCTGCCTGAAACATACGTTTCCTTTTGATGAAAGTTCGCGCTTTGCGCATCAATCTGAGAGACTGATTGTCGGTTTTTACTTTGGACGAACTTAGCATGTATTGAAAAAAGTGAAGATTTTGCAGAATGCAAAATGTGGGTCGAGTTACGATTAAATTCAAACGAGACTCGTTTTTAATTTCCCGTTCGGTTTAAAAATCCATGGAATGATTATTATTCATACTTGTTATCGGCTGAAAATTTTCTCGTTTCGCAGTCAAGATTTGTTCTTCGAAATGAAAAATTAAGCGCACTTATACTCGAACTGAAATTGGTCTTGCGCGTAAAATCAGTTACGCGAAATTTAAATTGTAAAATCGTAAAAAAAAAAAATGCTAAAATTGTACTTTCCCGTAAATTAACACGTGTGCGAGGTCAAACAGAAAAATGGCGAGTCTCGTTTGCCGCGCGTACAATGTTACGAACTGTCGGTGTATACGGAACTATTTTTCTGAAAGAAAAACTTCCGATAATGAATTACATATATATATATATATATATATATATATATAAACAAGCTCACACTTTTTAAAAACAATTTTAGCAGATAGAGACCATCTTCGAAATCCTTGAGAGAGAGAGAGCCAGTACGCTTAGTACGCTCAATTGATCCGAGTTAATGACATTGCGGCACTGACCGCGGGCGAAACTCACTTAATTACTGAAGGGCTGACAAAGCTCGAACTCGACACAGACTCTGCTGACCGGTTCGGTTCATCCCGACTTTTCAGCTTCCTCTCCCCCTCTCTCTCTCTTTCTCTCACTCTGCCTTTGGTCTCTCATCTATGCCCGACCGTTTCGAACTTTTATCACGATTTAGATCTGCTCGCAATATCACTTTGTGATTGCGCGTAATTAATTATGGAATTTAGAAATATATTTATACATGTACGAAGTCACAAGATAATTAAGATTCGAGAACTGATTGAGAGTGTGGTCTTATTTCGCGCAATTCACATCGGATAGTTTTTGCGATTATTTTACCGACGATTTTTAATTAACTATTTCAATTTTTTTATCTTCCATATTAAATATATTACGCGCGCGTGTGTTCATGATACGAGATATTATTATAAAATCGGACGTAAACGATATATCGCGAGCAAATATTTTTTTTTTCGTTTTTTTAAGTTTGTACATACGTACCGAGATTTATCAAGTTTAATGCGCGAATTTTCTGAAATATCCTACGAAAGCTCAAAATACGAGGGAACGTCACGTTTTCACGATCTTTTCACATAAAATACCAGTTCCGACGAGTGCACACCCATTTTCTAGACAATCAGGTTCCTGTAACCGGACTTAGAAGGTGTCGTCTCTCATACCTCAACGCAATCCGCAGAGTTATATTTCCCGCTCTCTCGGCGCGGAATAAGCTTTATCTCCGAAATCTTATACATGAGAACGCGTCAGCGGTGTTGTATTGAGATCGTCGAGGTGGTAAAAGAAATTTAGCCCAGGGGGTTTTTGTTCGCGTTTGTGTGCACGCGCGCACGTGTGTGTGTGTGTGTGTCTGTGTGTGAACGTAACTCGAAATTTCCACCAACCTCTATGACTCCCGTTTTGTTCAGAATGGCGTGTCCGATCGCCGGCTGGAAACGTTCCATCTGCTTGAGTACTTCCGCCACCTTGGGTTCGTCGAGATCCACCAGACGAAAGGCTGTCATGTTCACGCTGTTGTACTTGAAATCTTCCAAATCGAACGTTTCTATGTCCTATGTGAAAAAAGCGAGAGCGAAAGAGATATTCGATTATTTCAATGTATCGGATCATTTTTTTTGTTAATAAATTTGAACGAGGAAGAGGAATCCTCCTTCGCTCGAGCTGGCGTCTCGCTTCCTGACGCGCGGAATATCGATTTTATTCAACGTCTCTTCGAGAGAGTTTTACGAACACTTCCTTGTGGCCGGCAATATTTTAAGAAAATTAAAGTGGAGCACGAGCTTTTCTTGCGAGAAAGCGACTAAATTAAAGAAGAATGAGATTGTTCCAGCGATTCCATCATCTTCGGTAATTGCTCGATCGTTACAGGGTAACCCGATCAATCCACTCCCTCCTCCCCCCCTATCTTCGGCCTTTTGCTTGGGCATGAAGAGAAGCATGATTTATAATTATACGGTGATGTATCGCTACGTCGATCGTTAGAATAGAATAAATAACGTGGCTTTTCCGCACGAGGTCATTCACCGACCAACCGCGCGCAGCTGCATAGCAAAGTCGGCCACAGGGAGAGATAAAGCCCCCCGTTTCCGCGCCTCCGAGCGGTTTCTTCTTCCGCCCCCTCCCCCCCCATTTCGCTTCAACCGCCGTTTCTCCTTTCCCTTAACTCTCGACTGTCTATCCAACTTATCTTCCCTCGGAATCGCGACATCGCGCCGTTACCGCGCCGGGAGAAAGTTGCGTAACGAAAAATGATTTATTCAGAGACGCGACGGGGGCAGATTCGGTTATCCCTCTCTCTCTCTCAGACAGAAATCGACAAAAGTATCTTAATGGAACATCTCGCGGAACTGCATTAAATCTCTCTTTTCCTTCGCGAAGGAGGTCACGTGTGTGTGGACTGATAAAAAAAAAACACTCTTTCCTGTGTGTATTAACATAACATGATCGTAATAACATTATGGCTCGTTACCTCTCTCTCTCTCTCTCTCTCTCTCTCTCTTTCTCTCGCTACAAGTTATTAAACCGAATAAAAATTTCATAACAATACGTGCGCCTTTTTAATTTTCGCTTCTACGAAATGTACTTGCGCTTCGTAACTACGTACGAACATAATACGCAGAGAGCGATAAATTTTTCCGACACTCTTTGTGTACATGTACATGTACACATGTAGCTTTTTTTTTAATTTTACGCTCTCGAATCTGTCGCGCATCTTGGCTCATTGACATTATGACACGGCTTATTGTTATTCATATACTCGATATAATTTTATTGACCGTGAAGGTAATTAATTCAACGATATATCAACACACACACACACAAATTTGAAACACATCGTTCCCGTTTGTGCGGGATTATAAGTGCATGTGGGCGTGTGTATTTTCGATAATATCAACATTATCAAGCGATATATATTCTCATCGAAAACCGACCGCAAGATGAACTCTGTAAATAACTCGCGCTTCCGCCGCTTGCTATGTTACCGCCGCGTATATAACATACGTACATATAAACATACATACACACACACGCACATATATATATCGCAGAATGTGTATTCTCCGCGCTATTGTCTAGCTAATGGAATACTGTATAATCAATATTTGATTCACGGTAAACGCCAAGCGATATGAGTTTCCGTTCCGTAATTACCTACGCCGAGCTCTGATGGTGCACGTCGGGTCTTCTGACGCTCGCGAGCGGGCGCGCGTATATATCGCAGACACACGCGGGGATTTAGATGCGGAAACGCGACAGCTGTATCATCGGTAGAAATGAAATCCCCCGGATTCCGCGCGTACAAATTGTGTTTGAGCGCGCGCGCGCGCACGCGTATAATTAATTCCTCTTCGTTTTACGAAAATTATCGGATTGATCGACGAGAAATTCCCCGCGCGCGATCCAGTAAATTACATACATCATTTCAAGGTGAAATCGCCGAGGGGTTAATATCTGTCATCGATTAATCCGAACGTATTTGCGGAAACGAGAACGAGCGCTCGCACGGTTCGCATCGAGAGCGGTGCAGCTGCAGGAGTTCGGTTTCAACGCGCGCGAGTTTGTCGTTAAGCTGCAAAATTCGAGAAGGGGGAGAAGCCGAGAGAGAGAGGCATGTAGTTCATGCACAGTCACGTATGCACGGTATGCTCAGTGTGTGAGTGGTGCGCGCGAATACGCCAAGCAAGCGCACTTCTAAACAGCACGCGGACCCATCTCTCTTTGTGTCTCTCGACGTACTACCACGCTACTATTTGTAGCTCGCGTTTGCACATCACAATTTCAGCTATGTCTAGAGGGGAGGATTTGTTAGCTTCATTTAAGACAGAAATTTCCGAAATGGAACGGAGCAGATTGGAATTGCGCGGCTCAAAAGGCGAGAGAAACACGTTCAAAGGGGAGAAGTGAGCAGTGACCGAACTTTCGGACCTTATTAGAGAAATACTCGATATGAGAGCGCAGACCGCTGCTGGGAATGTCTAATTCCTCTGCACGAAACCTCGGGACCAATTGCTCATAATATACATAATGAGCCGTGCGTTGTACAAAGAGAAAGAGGGAGAGAGATAGAGAGAGAGAGAGAGAGAGGGAGGGAGGGAGAGTGCGCGGCAGGAAATGCTAGAGGTACACGCGCTGGTTATGAAGATGATGAATCGCGCGCCGCAATAAGGAAATAGGGAAGTTCTGTCTGAAAGAGAGACGCTCTCTATTATATTAATGGTACTCGATATTATTGTGCGCGCGTGAATGTGTTTAATGAGACGAATATTCGTTTATTATATTTGTCAGAGCAAGATACGTCTAGAACAACGAGCCGGCTGTGTTAATGACGCCCCCGTATATGTACATAATACGCTTAATTAAACAAATGCTTAACTACGTTCAATAACTGTTTGAAGGCTTATTAATAACAAATTAATAATTCAGTGCTCAAATGATGATTAAATTTCACACTAAAGGACATAGCGTAAACAATAAAACAACGTTCTCACCTAGATCGATAAAATAAATGTTAAAACGTATATATACGTATCTTGTAAAACACGTTGACAATAGTCTTTTCCCCGAGTGCAATATTTTTGCAAATTTTCTTCACCGTTATTATTATTTTTATCGAGATTTTCATAAAGACGACGTACTTACAAAACTCGTGAACATATAGTGGTATCTGTAGTCGTTCATTTGCAACTGCAATATCTGCAAACAGAAAGAAAAACTGTTTTTTTTTATCGCATCATCAATATCACAACAATATGATAACCTAACAATTACCGACCCATTTGTTATTTCACGAGTAGCAGCATCGACGTGTCGATGAGAAAATAATGGCGATTTTCATGATTGATGATTTTCACGTGTTATAAATAAATGCGGCGCACACAGATGTAAAAATGCGCGCGCGTTTCACCATATCTCGCAAATTGGACAATAATAAATATTACACTGTGTATCCTGTGTATCCCCGACGTCAAGGATATTGCATCCTTTGCCGCGGCGCTGATATAATTCGTTGCCTTTTCATTTGCCGCGATGCGAGACCACACGTGTGTAAATCGATCAAGTCGCATCCCTCCTCGCAGCAGATGGGAGCGAGTCAGAAAGGGGTCTCGTGTGAATCCGTCTTGTGGAAAAATCGCCTCGGGACGAGAGGAAAAACGGGAATGGGAGGACGAGACGAGCGTGCGAGGTCAAAAGGATGTGGCAGAACCGATGCGAGCAACTGATGTTTTTTGATTACCCGGTCGATGGTTTATCCTTGAGAAAATCCTCGAGAGACGCAAAGGACGCAAATAACGAAGCTTACTTCGTCCGTGTCTAAAGCGAAATTGCTGTGCCGCCAGCAAGGCGCGGTCGAAAAATCCTAATCCTTCTCTCACTTCCGTTGTAGTTGTTTCCGTCTTAATCCTCTGATTACGGGGGTGACATTTCTCCTGAATCTGATTGCGAATTTATTTAAAACAGTATATCTCTCGATAAATCGGTCGATATACATAACACCACTTATTCGCGCGAATTAACGTCGACGCGATGTCTCGTTGGTTAAATTTTACATTTCGAAGCGTGCGCTTTAACAGTAAATTTCGCCGATTTCAGCAACGTATTATCACAGCGCGGTACGAAAAAAAAAAAAAAAAAGCAACGCGTATTTCAACGGCAAATAATCGAAATGTGCATTTCTGGCGCGTTGATCACTCTTGCGATTATGTAAATTTTTCTGTTCGGCACGGCTGCTCACGCATCGTCCGTTCGCCAAAAGTGTGTCGGGAAAAATGGTGAAAAACACCGAGAGCGCGCGCGTTTCGTCATTTTCGAATGAGCGCGAAAAGAGCGGCGCGATGATTTGCATGAGCTATTTTCAACACTTGTTCGTTACCGCCGACAATTTGTGCGATTTAATTTCACGATCTGCCGATTTGCACTCGCTGTTGCGTCCGCAAAAGTAGCTGAACTATTTCGACTCTCTCGTCGCGGATTTGCTTGCAAATATTGCGCGTATAAATTATTACAACAAGAGAAGTACGTATAAGATAAAATGTTAATCGCAAAGACGAATTATTGCAAAACGGTTTTTTTTTTTTATGGTCGTAAAACATTTGCGAGCAAAATTTCGTTAATTCCACTTCGGTACCTGTGCAAAATCCTCAAAAAAAAAATTCCATCTTTTCAACGACTCAGCCGATAATTCAAAAGAGAACGGCCCTTCAAAGTTCAAAATCTGCTTTGCGTCGCAAACTACAAGCATTAGTCGGGACATAATTTTCTTTTTTTCGAGCTCGAGCACAACGGTGGCTCTTGCTTGCTCTCTTTCTCTCTCTTTTGCCGACTACGTTTTTCAAACCGGAGAAAGAGAATCCCGTGCCGGGCGGCAAAACCAAGCGTCAGAAGGAAAAACTGCAAACGCCATTAATCCTAATTGTAAAAAGGTCCTTTTAATCTTCACGCGCCGCGTTTTGCGCATGTAATTCCGGCGAGTTATTTACGAGAACCGCGCACTCCGTGCGCGTGCGGTTCTCTGTTTCCGTTCTTTATTTATTTATTTTTTGTTGTTTCTCACTCTACAGGTAAACAACGTGTTTTCATTGTCCCGTCTGTGAAAATTGTCGGGAAAAGCGTCGTGGCGCTTTCTCTGCGCGTTTTCAACGCGCGAAACTTCGGTCGGGATATTAAGATTAAATGTCCCGCGGGAGAACGATCATTTACGAGTCTATGAGAGAGTTTTTCTGCGCGCGCGAAAACTCCATCGCGTATTCAAGTATCGACAGGTAGTTTTCTGCGCTCTTCTCTCTCTCTCTCTCTCTCTCTCTCTTTCTCTCTCTCTCACTTCATTCTCTTGTTTCTCAGACCAAGTCAGCTTTGCGATAAAAAGCGCAAAATTTCTCCCACTCGCTCGGGTTATGAGATATTGTATCTTTCTTTTTTTGTTTCGAACTGGCTCTTTCGAAATAACATTTTTGAAATAACTTTTCGTTGGTTTGCATTAAACCAACCCGATTCGTTCCGAAGCTTCGCTTCCCGGTGTATCTCGCGTATTTTAAATGAAATGGAAATACGCGAACAGAGTCATTTTCCAATGAAAAACGAGAACGTGGGTACGGAAACTTGAAACGCGAAACAAAAAATTAGTGTTACTCCTTCTGAAATCTCCGATACTGCACGGCGTATTAATGAAGAAGAACAGCACTTGTTATCAGTTGATATTTGCCTTGATAAAAAAAAAAAAAAAAAAAACACATGTCTGCGCGCTCAAATTCTTGAATAACGGCGTCGGTAAATTTCAATAAACCGCGCGTTTTCACGGTCAGTCGCTCGCGTGCGCGATGCGCGTCACATTTTATTGAAAAAATACGCAAAATCTATTCGAATAAAACAACTTGTCAGAATTTATCATGCGAGAGGTTAAACGGAGTAGAAAAAATAAGGGAATATTTATACTCCGTTCCCGTACGCGCGCGCGTGGATTTAGTATTTTTTTTTGGAGAGGAAAGTAATAAACAATATAGGGGGTGCGGAACTAAAAGAGAAAATATTGAAAAGCGCGCGCACGCTCGCGCGCGAGAGAAACGCACAAAAATGTCAAGGTGAAATTTAAATAAGCGGATTTCGCGGACCGTTTCCGAGATATCGGATCGTTTCCGGAACACTCACCGCTCGGAAGAACTGCTGCATGTGCGCCGGATCCGTGTCGACGATCAGTTTGAAGATCTCCTTGTGCCTGACTTCGCGCAGAACCTGCCTGTAAGATCTGGGACCCGCCTGACGGATGTACATTTCGGTCCTCACGGATGGCGGGGATTTCACGAGATCCTGCAGTCTGAATAACCCTGTGCAAAGAAGAAAAACGGTTTAGATAAAATTTTGCGCGCGGCGAAAAGAGCCGCGACTGGCTCTTTTCTCGGCGACGCGACGCGCCGGACTTCATCATCGCGCGCGCCCTCTCTTCGTGCGTGTATTTTTCTTTAATCTTTCTTTATACACCCCTCCCTCTTTCGCCCATGGTGTTATTCAAGTTTAACGTCATGTCGACGAAGTATCTCGAGCTGCGAAATATGATGGATGCGCAGTCAAATATTTATACGATCTGCTGAGTATGAATTCGCCCGCCAGCTTATCCGCGCGCAGCTTTTTTGGTTTTTTTTTTTTTTTTTTTTTTATATATCATTTGCTTGGAAAGCGGCAAGAATTTTTACGGATTGATTAAATGTATGTATTTTTTTTTCAATTTATTTTTTGAGTTACATTTCAATTTTTCAGATTTTTCCGTAACCATTGTAACGAAAATAAAAGTAATAGGTTGTTATTTAGGTTTTTATGTACATAAACGAGCAGGTCGTTAGCGAGCAAACGATGCAACGGATAAAGCAATGCCGAAACAATAGTGCGAATTTTCAATAGCGGCGCGCTTCGCGTTGGTTTAAGGCGCAATATATATGATAAAATAATCGATCCCGCGTAAGAGAAATTTTCCGACCGAGATATCCGCGCCGTGTCGTTGTAAAAAATAAAGCGCCACGCGAATTATCTGCGCAAGAACAATACAAATGTATCCGAGTAGCAAAAAAAAAAAAAAAAAAAAATAGACGCGAGGTGTAACGCGCGGACTTGCTACTTAAAGCAGAAGAGAACGGCTTGAGAGAGAGAGAGAGAGAGAGAGAGAGGGAAGCTTGTTAATTTGATTTACAGGAAGAACTCGACACGGATGAGAAGAGAAAGAGAGGGAGAGAGGTAAGATCAGCCTATCAAGAACACCGTAGTCCGCTAGCGAACTTTTCGTAACTTTTACATTATTATCCGGCGAAGGGAGGGGAAGGGGAAGAAGAGGTTTGCGAAGATGTCGCTAAAAAGGCGCATTGCGAGTTTCACAATTCACTTCCATTCGATTGTTCTTGGACTACTTCTGAAGTTGCGCTGTCGACTCGAGAGAGATTTCCGCCGCGCTTGCGCGCGGAGAATTCATTGCATGCGATTACGTTGGCCCGCGTCAGCGAATCGCTTTTTAGATTCGGTTTAACTTTAATCGACGCTGTTTTGCATGAGCTCTCGGCTTCCTTCCTTCTTCTCGTTCTGATTTCAAGAAGAAGAAACAGTTTAGTAATACAGATAAATAAAATTCGTCGCGATTTATACAGATGAGATTCGACAAATTTAACGATTCTTCATATGCACGTGCGATAATGCGCGCGCATCTAATTAAGGAACGTGCCGTTTGTTTGTTTTTTTTTTTAATGACGAAACTGAGTACAAAAGAGATCGAATATAAATCGGATGCTCGTTTTAAAAAAAACCGAGATTTTCCCGTCCGGACTTTGTTCAGAGGATACAAATCTGACAAAGTCGGAAGATTATCGGGACGTAATTCGACTTTTGCTGAAAGAGACTTTGCGAACGCCAAGAGATAGGTGCCGCCAACTTTTGAGCTGGCTAATTACTCCCCCTTAATAATCGTGACGAATAGACCGTTTTAGAAGAGAGGATCGATAAAACAGCCAAAGGACCGACGAAAGGGAAGCGGAAGATAAATTTTTTGGCGCGCTAACGAGGACGGCCCGCGGAAAAGTCTGGCGCGCATAAAAAAAAAGAAAAAAAAAGAAAAACAAAAAAAGATTAAAAAATGAAAAACTTCACAGAACACAAATCGAGCAATTATGACCACCGCTTGCATATCACTCCGCTTGTATATACAAAAAACACTTCAAACGAGAAGATCTTAATTACGCGTTGAGAGATTCTTTCGGTTGGCGCGTGAACTTTTCTTCCTTAAACTTTTCGTTCTTACCAAAGTTTTTCCTCCGAGAGAAGACTTCGAGAAAACGTCAGCAACAATAGCTTGTATTAACAAATATTATAATTAAAGGTCAATACGCGAGCCAATGTGAGTGCGAATACATTTTTGAACGTGTAAATTGATACAAATTGAAATTTGAATTACTTCCAAATGGAGTTTCTCCCGTAAGGGAATAAAATAGATAATTTATATATTAAAGCAAATTAGAGAAATTTGAAAATTTATTTGAAATATTTAATTTGCATCTCTAATATATAAATTATTTTATTCTCTTATAAAATGTTAAAAACCCATTGCGAAAAATGGTCAAAAAGAGAGAGCCGCGTTTGATAACTATAACAAAATAAATTTTTATCTGGTACATTAGGTACGAAATTAATGCAAAATTACACACACACACACACACACACAGGGACTGGGATTAAAGGGAGGAAATATCTCGGATAATAAAGAGTTATAATGAGGGTCAAAGGTTTCGCGATATCCCGCGTACAAAAACCATTACGTACGCCATGCTCGTGAGAAAATGTTTGAAAAAGGAAAGTAGGAGGACTGCGCGCGGGAAGCGCGCGCGTGTACAGTCCGGTTTACAAAATCAACCGTGCAGATAGCGGTAACTGCCGCGCGGTGTTATATCTGAGAATTTATGACGATATCGTGGAGTAATATAAAGCGAGAAAAGAATTCATGAGGAAAAATGTATTGTACACACTGGTCATTTTCTTTCCCTCCCCATCATTCCGATGATAACCTTTTTATCTTCTCGACTTCTTTGTTACGGACGCACAAACCTCGAACGTCGCAAAAAAAAAAAAAAAAAAAAAAAAAAAAAACAAAAAGAAAACAAAAATTATTCCGGATCGCTTTGTTCTATTAATGGCGGGAAAAGTGCGATTTAATGCGCGTTTAAGTAAGCGACTGCCTTTGCGCATTGAGATCTTATTTTAACAAACTTTGCGAAAGACGGGAGGGTTCGCTTCCGAGCGCGCTTGAATATTTAGGCGGCAAACGGGAAAGGGGAAGAGAAAACGACGTGGAGAAATGTTCACATTTCTCCGAGTTCTCTCTCTTTAGTCTCGAGACGCTTTTCGCAGCACGGCGCGCGACGCTCTTTTGCAGCGGAGAAAATTTTGAAACGTCTCGTCTCCCCCTCCCCTCGTCGTGAATTTATGAGAGCTATAGACATCAGGAGAAGCTGCGCGCAAAAAAAAGAAAAAAAAAAAAAAACACGCGCAACGTCTTTTTCCGTTTCCTCTCGTTTTATCGCTAACGGCAACGTTCCACTTTGTGCTCCGCGTCACGCTACATCGTCCAATCAAGAGCGGCAATTTACGGAAGATAAGGTCGGGAGAGGTACTTCCTACCTCCTACTTTTCCCTCGCAAGAACCGCGAAAGAAAAAGAACTCGTCTCGCAAATGCATATGATGTAGATCCCGTATCTCTCTCTCTCTCTCTCTCTATCTCTCTCTCTCTCTTTTCTTTTCCCATTAGCCTCGGGTAGGTAAAGGCGACGCGCGTACGAGTTAATTAAAAAAAAAAAAAAAAGAAAACCAACACTAACGTCGCGACAATATAGTAATTTGAAGCTTAACGAGTCCAAACCTCCTTTTCGATGTCAAGAATGTTAAATCATGTCGGTAATCCGCGCAATGTGTTGGAAATCCTTTTTCAATTGACTTTCGTCAAAGATCGATGCCACGAGAATCGCATTATTACCGCCCGGCGGCCTGACTAATGGTTGACCGTTTTCACTGAGACGGGCAAATAAAATGCAAATGCCGCTCTCCGGAAAGAGCGCGCGTCGCCTTTTCTTTCCGAGCGAAGATGGTTAAAATATACTAATGCGATCGGAAATGTGGCTGGGGGATTGCGACGTACGTACGTACGTCAACGTCACGTCGGAATTTCGATGAGTCCGCCGCGGACGGTGCCAACCCGTTACGAGATAGAAGTGCTCGCCAAAAGGACTTATGGAAGAAGGAGAATCGCAACCGCAGCGGTAACTTGGCGACAAAAAGCGCGGCGAGAACGACCGAGAGAGAGAGAAAGAGAGAGAGAGAGAGAGCCATCGTCGGCGTTTACATCGTAGCGTGTAAACGCCGAGGTTACTTCCGCGCGTGCGAGTGGCAGGGCGACATTTCGAACGGTGGCGCCTGATTCCGACATTCCTATTTGCATAGAGACGCATCACGTCGCGGGGATAAAGACAAAAAAAAAAAAAAAAGGTGTTTGCGTAATGAACGTGTCGACACGGTGCGGCGCTACAACAGCGCTAACAAGATCGCGCGCGAATATACGTCTATGAGGCTCGTCGCGCGATTCAATGCGCGTTTTGTCGAATCCTTTTCGCACCGCGCTCGATACGCGCCGGATAATGACTTAAAAAAGCTTACATCTCGATTAAATGTTCCCCAATGACACGCCCCAAACGCCAATTGTAACAAAGTATTTATATAAATATTTTTGTGAATTTTTGAAATCTCATAGAAAATAAAATGGATAAATTTATTACTTGAGATGCAAACCGAGCATCTCGGATGTGAATTTTTGAAGTGAAATTAATTCAAATTTTTGTGCGTATTTTAATGTGAATGTTTAAAAAAATATATTCGCGCACATACACTCAACATAATGGCTCGCATCTACCTTAAACTATTATCTTTACGAGCTTTAAAATTTGTTTGCAAAGTTTTGTTACATGTAAAATTAAAAACTAATATTTAAAAACATTTAAAATAATAGTTAAAACATTGAGAATTATTACATTCAACGTTTACACACCTAACAATTGTTTCTTTGATAAATGTCCGATTATTGGGACATTTATCTCTCTTCTTTTCTTTAAAAAGAAGAGAAAAACATTGAGGATGAGATAATTGTGAATATTTTCGTGTTTAAATACGACGAAATCCGCGACATCTTCTCTCGGAGTTGCGAGTTATTGTGCGCTCCACTTACCGTAATCCTCTTCGTAGATAATGGCCACTCTGGTCCAGTTAAGGAAGGACATGAGGTCCTTGAACGCTTTGTTAAGGTGGTCTTGAGCCGGATATAGGTTAATGCTGAACTCCTTAAAAGTGGGCTCGAAATCGACCCGCGCCTCGAGATGAGGAACGTCCAGTGCCTCGCATATACTCTGTATATGAGCCCCTAAAAGTGGGTCGGACGGTCCGAAGATGCCTTGCACCGACCTGGATAACTGCTTACAAGCTGAAAGATCAAATCAAACACACTTTTTTGTTAGTGTATTAAAATCCTCAACTTACAGTTATTGCTAAAATCCGGATATATTAGATAACTGTTTTTTTTTTATCTTGCTATATTGCTTACATGCTAAAGAATGACGTTGACATAAGGCTAGCTTCACTTCAAACAGCCCTTGATTTTCGTCAGATATCAGTTATCGTTTGGGAATGTTTGTAATTTCGATTTTTACGCGATAAGATCTTTTTCGAATAGCAACTCGCGCCGACGCGCCAAGTACAAATATAACCGAATACGGCAAATAGGGAAGATGAGTGAGGATAGGGTGTCAATGGGGGCGCAGAGGCGTGCTAAAACGTGAGATTGGAGAACGACTGGCTCTGACACGTCGATTTCATATTTCTAGATGAAGCGCACTTGGAAGTCCTGTATCAGCGAAAGCCGCGGCAAATTGACGACAGACACTTTTGCGAGAGGTCTTCAACCCCGCGCTGTGTGTGTTCTCGCGGTCCTTGTCTCTAATGATATATACAGATATTTCGCCGCTAAAACCGGCGCGACACACAAAATGACATTTGTAGCAAAATTTCGGAAATTTCGCCGAGCTGTGCGCGCACGTCACATCTCGTCGAATAATAATTTTGCCCGTATAAGGATTAACGTAATAATTCGCGGGAATTGTGCGATCCGGGATGCACGGTGTGTGTTCTCTTTGTCTGAATTAAATTGTCAGGAGAAGGAGGGGAAGGGAGAGACTGAATCGTGAAAAGGTGTGCTGACGAACGCTCTCTATCGAGATGTGACGCGCGGCAGTCCCCCGTTTTCGTTGAATACAATGTTTCCGCGTTGTCGTCGAAACGCGGGGCTTGCCTTCGTTCTCCGTTGATTAAGTCGAACGTTCCGACCGACGAGAGTAAATAAGAATCGTTACCTTGTTACGATATCGCAGTTTCGCTTAACGAACCGACGCTCATCCGTTTTGCGGATAATGAGTACGGCGACCGTTTCCTCACAAAGAACCCCGCGGCCGAAGCGGGGTTCATGACTTTTATGAGTTTCGATATAGGCGATACGAAGAGAAGCGATCGATTCCTCGCAATTTTGCAAACTCTGTCGCAATTAAGATGACGATATAATGTTACACAAATCTTCTCACTCCTTCTGCCTCTTTCTCTCATCCCGAAGTTTCGAGAATATTTTCTCTTAATTGCTCAAGCTGTCCACGTTAAATCAATAGTCAAACGTAAAAAAAAAAAAAAAAAAAAAAAAACGTTTCGTCTGACGACTCGAAGAGAGCGGAACACAATTTCGCACGACTCTGTGTCACGATTGTGTGTTTAAAATACAACAAAGAGATATTCAACTGCACGTTATCAATAGAATATTGAAAATAATAATAACAATAATAATAACAATAATAATGTTTTTCTTTTCTCTTTGCGCTAACTTTGTTGCGCAAACTTCTGACAACTTTTCGCTCTCGCAAAGAGTTTAATCTGATTTTCACAAATTCTCATCGCGCGTGTGTGTTTGCGTCGGTTAGCTTCTCACAGGACAAAAACCTAATTAATGCAAGCGCCAAGTACGTAATTGCTCGCTATGTGCGCTTTCTGCAATCACCGCCCACGCTCGGATAAAGGACGATCCTCGTAAAACGTTCTATCTCGTTCCAGTTTCGTCGTCGTTAAAAGTTAACGCAAGTAACTCCGTGATCTCTCGCGTGCGCTCTCTCTCTCTCTCTCTCTCTCTATCTCTCTATCTCATTCACGCGCGCGGAAAACTTTTGCACGCGCGCAGAGATACGACAGTTTGAGTTACCGGCTGAATTAAAGCTCCGATGTGTGTGACGAGTTATAAATCTCTTTAAAAAGCCGTCGCGAAGTCGTTAGGGGGTTGACTGAGGCGAAGTTGACTGTGAGGATTACGAGGGGTGCGATGTGCGAAGGATAGGAATAAAATCCGAGCGAAATAATCGTCATTTGGTTAGCTGCTTGCGCGCCCATTTCTGGTCCTCGCCAGTTCTCGTAAACGGAACCTTCCATTAAAGTGTTCCGCTTCGCTCGCCCGAGGTAGGAAGAACGGGAGGGAAGTGGGGATCCGCCGCGCTCCTTAAAGTTATCCAATCAATTTCGCTGGTTTAGGTTCGCTTCCGTTTCCTATCTTCCTTTGTTTTCCATTTTTCCGAAAGTACCGACCGCGCGACTCGGAACGTAATTCGCGCGCGACGTCGTCGTCGTCGTCGTCGTCGTCGTCGTCGTCGTCGTCGTCGTCGTCGTCGTCTTATCCCTCCCCGTATCTATAACGCGCTCGTTCGCGGAAGTCGACGGTACGTTTTTTTTCTTTCGACGGAAAATTAATAAAAAAGCACCTATGTAGCGCGGAGAAGTATATATAAACTTTCTTTTTCCTTTCTCGCTGCACGCGAGAAGAAAACCTTAAAAACGATATCTGTGCGATCGTTGCGACGACGTTGCGAAAAGAAAAACTTCTGCCGACGTAAGCGAAAAGTGTGAACTTCCGTTTGGAAACTTCTTCTTGTTTATTAAGCGCTTTGAATGAGGATCCGCGCGTCGCAATTTTACATCTTTAAAATCGAACGGGAACGGAATTTTCATCGAATCGCGACGGTGTTGCGTTAGGTTCCGTCGCGCGCGCGTTCATCGATCGACCACGTTAAAAATTGAGCGCGACAAATCGAATTTTATCAATTATCCAAACCGGTTTTTGAACTTCGTTCAAAGCAAAATCGTCGATATTAAACGTCCGAGAGCCGCGCAATGTGTGTATTTGCAATTGCGTCTTATATTAAATTTATTATTGTATCCTAGTCTCTGTGCGCCGCTACTCGCGCGCGAAAGAAGAAAACAAACGGGTTTTGCTTCCGAGCTTCTTTTATTGCCCCGTGGGCGATATAATAGCGCAATATTGCGCACTCTTGTCCGTACAGTTGTATCTCGACAATCGATTAACCTCCTCCACCTCCGCACACACAACACTTGTACACATACACACGCTCTTCATTCGCCCGCTCTCCGGGTAATATGTCGCAGTGCCTCCGTAATCCTTACTAGATGCGCTCAGAAATTCATAGAGGATTTTCTCCCGAGTCGAGTGTTTCGCAGCGAATTCAATTTTCCACAGACGCTTTTTCTCCTCCTCCTCTCCTTTCGTTTCTTGTCTACCGGCGACAGCGAGATGCGACAAATAAAGATCCTCACGTATAAATAACAATTTTTCTAAAGGATAAACTTTCTCGCGGAAATGGAATCCACATCGTTGGTTTGTCCGGAAGAATCTTTTACATATACGGATACAGATTTCCTATATATTTAATATGATCCTATCGATATATAAATCGGAAAATTTTTCTTATCATTTATATCGACAGTTTTAATATTTCCCAAGATACAAGAAGATATTGCGAATCTGATTTTTATCGACAGTTTTAATATTTGCCGAGAAATATCACGTGCGCAGTTTTAAAGACGACGTGTTCGGTTCAACCGTCAGAACTGAGGATTCCTCCAATGATCGGACATGTGTTAAAAAAAAATAATTAACAAATGAAATAATTAATCATGACGCAATTCGCAAAATGTTTCGAGTAATTTTTGCGATATATAGTTTTTCGTTATTAGTTTCTATAGCTTTGTATTTTAATAAACAAATACTTTTTGCTGTCATTTTATCTAACAAATGTTCGACCGGTGATACTTGTCCGATCGTCCGTGGGATATGTTCGCCTTGTATCGAAGCCAAAACTCGCGCTTCGAGCGCCCTTTCGCATTTCGGAGCCAAGTAGTAATACGGAAATATATATTCGACTGCACGCTCGAGACGCCTCGGAGAATTTCAATCCATTTGAAAATTTCCGCGCGAAGTAATTCGGGCCGTGGATACATTAGAGACGAAGATAACGCGGCGGCGCGCGAGGTTGCGATTTTACTTTTAAGCGAAATGGATCACGTCGTGTTTAGGCGCCTCCTCGCACGATTCAGCCGAGTTCGCGCGCACGCAACATTAACCTCCACGCGCGTTCACCAACCCGAGAAGAGATCCCGCGGGATAGGAAAATATATATACATAGGCACACCTTCTAAACACACACACACACACACACTTTCTCTCTCTTTCTGCGCACAGAAGATTTATCGCGTCTTGAGTCGAGGCGCGCGAAAGAAAGTTGAAAAAGTTACGCCTCCGTTCGACACGGTTTCCAGCCCTCCGTTCGCGAAAAGAGAAACGCGGCTAGCAAGAACGACCCGAACGCTGTGAAAAGCGAAGTAATCTTTTCAGCACGTGGCACGTATCATTTTGTACACGTGGAGAAAAATCGCGCTTGCGAGTTCGCATCACGCACAATGGAAGGATATCATAAGGCACATTATGGAAGAATGTGTTTTCCTCTTAAGCCTCCTAAGAGAGAGGGGTGCAAATGTCTCGTACAATTCGCTGATGCGTCCGATCAGTCGAATGGGGATTTAAAGGCGTTCGAAATATGCGAGCTGTATAGAAATTGCGTGTAATTTTAAAATTTTTGTTTTTTATACGACTTAACATAACAAAATTTATTAACCAACTCGAATCTCTCGTAAGTCGAAAAAATTTCTACACTCTTCGAAAGTTTGCTCACTTCCTCCAGAAAACTTCTTTACAAGCGGAAGAAAAATGAGAGATTAACTCAAAGTATTTACGAAAAAGACTTTGGTAAATATTTACGAAATATTTATCAAAAGACTTCGCGCGAGATGTATGTAGATTTACTCTTCAAGTATAAACGATTTATTGTCACAGAGAGCTTTCTACCGTGTCACGTTGGTTTCAGTTGGGTGTGCAATGTTTGCACACGACGACGTCACACAATCGCGAGTTACAATCGCGCCGGCGGGTTCTCCAAAATCCTTTCGTTTATATATAAATCTGTTCTGTGCGCGAATAAAATTTCACCTCGCTGAATTTTACCAACACAATTCTCGTCAATCGTTCCGGAACGTTTGACTTATTAAATTACATATGCGGTTACACATTCGTGTATTTCTTTCGGATAACGGGAAACTTTTGTTTTTTTGCTGTAAACTCGAAGGAGAACTTGGTCTGGTGGCAAACCAAACATTTGGAATCGCCGAGACGATGTAGAATTTTGTAAGAAAACACATTCCCGAAGAGACATTGGTCCACGACAAATTCATAACTGGCGCGCGCAAGATTTATCTCCTATCCCCCTTTCGCGATCTTTCTCGCGAAAGACGTTGTTATGATTTCGGCGAGAAGTCGATTCTACTCGGAGCGCGTGTTCGCGGTGTGTTATTTTACATAAATCTCTCGTCCGACCACATCCCGTGTCGCGCGCGACATCCTCGCGCTGTAATTCACGGCTAAAACTGACCGCGCGCGAGCGCTAACTAAATTGCTCTCGTCAGGCTTCCTGCCAAGTTTTATTAAGTTCGCGTGTCAAAGACACACTTCCGACAACGAGATCGTGACAAGATGCCGGCACACGCGGTCTCTCTTGATCGCCTCAAAAACGAGAATTACGGTTAATTAATTAGCTCGCTTTGGACGATATTTCATGCTCGTTATTTCCCGCCCGTCAACCGACGAACATAAGCGACGTCGATTTACGTTTCCTTATTTATCTTTGTACGTCACAATTGATTAATGAACCGCATTGCATTCACAATTGCACTTTTCTAGGAATAAAAATGTTTTTTTCGCGCACAGCGTGTTATTATCTTGACGACGACATTGTCGCGCCGAAGTGCATCAAAGTGTGTTTAGGATGGCTCTTATTTTTGACATTTGAATGTTTTCGCAGCATCCTCTAGAGAATGGTTCCAATTGCTAAAACAATAATCTGTAAAAGTCCGATCGGATAAGGAGAAAAAGAGCTTCTGGGTTTTAACATAAAAAAAAATTATTTAAATGTGCCGTAAAAAAATTTTGTTAGGAGTAAATAAGAGCCACCATAGTGTAATATAAAGTGTCGGTCTTGTCATTTATCTAGACTACTTAAGACACTCGATTCACTTGCGATTCGAGTGTCTTAATTAAATTGCGCACGCGCGATAACGCGACGCAATTTGTAAGAAAAGTGCGATTCGATCTATCTCTACTGAGATAATATTCTCCGTTATTTTATTATTATTGTTGTTGTTGTGGTTTTTTTGCTTATTTACGATAATTACAATGCTTACCTTTTTTGGACGTGCGGAACGAGTCGTCTTTAGGCACGTATTGGATATCGTAAACCAGCGTCGTGTTCGCTAGGAGAGTTTTATCCTTGTTGATCTTGTAAATGGCGTACTTGAACGCTAACTCCGATGGGCTATCCTTTTGATCCTCGGTGAAAATCGCTCCTGCAACATTTTGAATATCTCCCTTAGACGCTAAAAGTTCTTTTTTTTTTTTTATCTTATTCGAGACTGTGTTTTTGTAATATTACGGTATGTGTCATGAATTATTAATGTTAGACAACTACATGAATACTAAAAAGGGATACTGCTTTTAAAATGTTTCTCCAGAATATTCTATTAAAAAAATAAATACAAAAAACATATTTCAATTACTTGTAATAGTTTTTGTTTCTTTTTGCGACCAAAATGTCAAATATGTTTGAGCGATACGTATTCTTGATACGAAATAAGAGTTTCGTAGAATATAACTGCACAATTTTTTTATCTATTATAATTATCGCACACGTACACACATTTATATTCTTCTTGATATTATGAACAATGCCGAAAGAAATCAAAAGTAATCTCTCTCTCCCTCTCTCTCTCTCTCTTTTTCTCTCTCTCTCTCTCTCTTTCTCTTTATCTTTTTCAAAGCATTTGTGTTTGTAATTACATTTTCTGACAAAAATGTATTTTACTTCGAAGATTTTTAACGGCGAATTTCAGCATGTTAATTAATTAGCCGTCATTTTGACGGTAACGTCAAATATGAGTACAGAACTTTTATTTCAAAACTGCGTTTTATATATTATTTTTATAAAATATATTCTCGATTCCGCGAGCTGAGTTCCCGGAGGAAACGCGCGCGCTCGCGCGTCCGTACCAGAAGCGGGATGAAGTTGGGCGCGGACAAATCCGAAAAGAAAATTCCGGCTCACTGCTAAAAAGAAACTGAATTCATTGAAAGTTATAACCGAGTTCATGAACTTGCAATAACGACCTCGTCTTCTATCTGTCGTACATATCTACATATATATACAACGGTAAGGTAGCGCGCGCGCGCAAGCGGGTTCCCTCCTAAATTTAATTAATGACTTCACCGCGGCGCAACTCACTTCGAACGCGAGTTTTAATTAAATTCGAATAATTACCGCGGCCAAAATCACGCTCGCGGTATCAGAAAGTACTTTAGTAGAAACGTTCTCGTAAATTAAACGTCAACCTTTGTCAAAAATAATCAACATTATGGCCGCGTTTAAAATTCATCATTTAGATGATTTTCTCTCGGCGAGCGCGAGACGAGATAAAATAGAATATTTTTCGTTCCCTTTTAAGTGCGGTAATTTATTTTTTGATGAAACACACGTGACATAATATTTGGTGTTTTTTTTTTGAAGATGTAACATAAATTTCAATCAATAATGAGCGTAAAAAAATAAAAGAAAAAAAACAAATAGCCATTGTTAGCAAGCACGTTTACCATCGTCGACAATTTGCGCTTGTTTTTCGCCCGTTCCGGGAGAAACGACAAAAATCGCGGCAATTAGCATCGAGTGAACGGCAAATATAACGATTACGTACACACACCTTTTTTTGCTCTCGCGCGAATCCGAACTCTCTCGCCCTCGTTTTAAATGTCTCGCTGCCGTTGAAAAAACTAACTTTTTATAGAAACACGAGTGAGATACGAAGCGGGGTATAATAATTGACCGGCGCTTTCAATTTGTGTATCGTCTTCCCTTCATCGTTGTCTCGTTAGAAAATTCCAGGATCCCAAATTCCCCGACCCGTTTAAAAGCAGCTTAAACGAAGGGGCACTTTGCCGCTCGAAAATCGCTTAACACACAAACGCGCGGTGCCGCGCCATTCTTTAACAACGCCGCCGCCCATTTTCATGACTCCGGTAATTAACTCGACTTTCAAAGCCTTCATCATTCTTCTTTTTTTTTTTTGTAACCCTTTCGCGAACGCACCGAATGAAACACTCTTTAAAATTATACGTCAGCCTGGCCAAGCTTCATTGCGACTAATCCATTCCGAAATAATCCGACCGATAATCTCCGGAGGCCGTTCTTTCTCGCCAACTTCAATTTTCTGTTTTTATATCTCGCGGCACGTCACTGTTGCACCGCCTTTGAGAAGATTTCGCGCGAACGAAATTATTTCTTCCTCCACAAACGCGAAACAGATGAAGTGTAAAAATGTCCCAATGGACATGTACCATCTGAACATTAAATTTATTAAAAACATAGTTATTGGATATATATAAATATTAAACATGACAATTCTTAATGTTTTCGATATTTTTAAGTTACGTTTTTAAGTTTACGTTTTTAAATAAAATCTTAGTTCCTAACTTTACGTTGCACGCATTGTCGTAATTATTTCTTTAATAAATTAATGTTTGTCAGATTGAGACGATTATTTTACACTATCTGTCGCAAAAAAGATATTAAAAATATATTAAAAATATATTGGATTCAAAAGTCACCAGTTTAGAAAAAAATTATTAGAAAAAATATTGGATTTTTAAAAATCAAACTTAGAGAGTGAATTTAGAGAGAACAACTTGACGAAATACAATTGGAATAATTATCTCAATTAGCGTGATAATGGGAACAACCGACCGTTGAATTTCCGTCTAATTCTCTCTCGTCGAAGTTTAGATAGTAGAACCGTTGTACGACTTTGTCTCGGAGTCTCTCTCGCGCGTATGTCTCGATTTGTATACATCACTTGACTCTTGGCGTCTCTCTGATACGGCACGCGAAACATTGCATTTAAATCATAATTCGCACATTGTAGACTCGCGAATTTATCTTTGTCACGCTCGGGAATATCTCGAAAGATAAGTGAAACTTCTCCTTGAAGACGTCTTCAAATCGATCGTTCCGTCACACTTGTTTGTTGCGAAAAGAAAAGAAGTCGGCGATAATAATAATTGCGCGAAACGCAATTGTTTTCAAATAACGATTGCGCTTTACGTAATTATCTCACGCGAAATAATTTCAAATCGTTTCCGAATTGAATGGTTTTTGATTTCCGAAAACTTTCACACACTCGTTTGATATAGAATTTAATGAATTTTCTTTCTCACGTGTGATACGTTGAATCGCCGTCGCGTTAATGCCGTATCGCGCTTTGATAACATTCGACAGAGCACTTCATAGCGCGCGTAACTGTATGTAGCAAACATTAGCGGAATGATATCGGAGGTCAACCGCGTTACAACAATTGTGTGCATGTTCCGCGAGTAAACTTCCATTGTTCTCTCTCGCTCGATATTGTATATATATATACACATACCATATGGGAGAGCACCAGACATTGGCATGTTTTGATGGGGATGCCATTAACGTTAGAAACGATCGGTACGAATGACAATCCCCCCGCGGGGATTGTTTCTCTCATCCTCCTATCAGACGGATATATTTTTCTCTCTCGTATGTCGTGCCAATCGCCGTTCAAACTCGCATTAAGGAACGAGAGAAGCGGGAACGAGCTGAGGGAGTATCGAATGTACTCTACGTAAGATTTCTGCGTCTTGGTAAAACCTCTCAAGATACGGAGTGGAGTTTCGACGAGCTCTCTCGTCTCGAAAGAAATTCGTACGTATTCCGTATAGAGTGTCGGAGTATACATTTTGTTCTTATTTCAGACAAAAAAAAATAAATAAATAAATGAGAGACAACAAATTACGAAGCTCGAATGAAAATGCTGAACCAAGTATTAGAGGTCGTTACGATCCAACACGTCGAAGATATATCCCATACGTGTGTGTGCAAATATACATTTACATTTAATAATATATATATATTATATATTTAATAATAACATTTGCTTGAAAAATATATTGTTTGACGTGCCAGATTGTAACGCCATCGCACAATTGCGAATATTATACCGAGCGTATATATTTGTGTAATGCGAAGAAAAAAAAATACAGATTAATAATGCGCACGTGAAGTATGAACTCAAATAAAATATGTATAAAGTACAATATAATAAAGTACATCGAAGCTCTTTGCTTTTGTGCGCCGCACGTATCCGGCCGACATTGTTCTCGGATTTTCGGTCCGTTATACGTCGGAGACACAACGCTACTATTCTATCGGATTTTCCCAGTTATTTGTGTAACTTTGAATAAATTCCCCGCGTATATTCGCTAATAAATTCGCCGATAATATTTCACAAGAGAGTAGGGTCGGCGCGCGAGTCAGATAAATGACCAAAAATGTGAAAGTACGCGAGAGAACGCACGCAGTTGTAATTCCGATATTCCGTGTTTAAAATATATATATATATATACATATATACATATATATATATATATATATATATATATGTATATATATATGTATATGTATACAACACAACTTGGCTCGCGAAGGATGTTATCAGTATGTTGATTGGTTTTGCAAATTCATCTGTATGCGCAGTCATATGTTATCAACAATAATTACTTTGTACACACAGCGCACACTGCTATTTACGTGCCGTCCGAAACACGCTCCCGGTTTGGTTAAGATTTTAATAAACTCTTCATTAAATTCTGCTTTTCATTGAATATTCATTAAGCGCCGCCGATACGATCAAAACACGTGTCGCTCAGAGTGAATACTAATATACGACAGGTGAAATAAACTGAAAAACAAAAAAAATTGTGTCTGCAGATGAAATTTTGCTCGTACATTTTATCGCAAATCACTTTAGTCACGTACCGAGAACGACTAAAGTCGCGAACTCACTTCTTTTTTTTTTTTTGTTTTTTAACATAATGCAAATTCAAGTGTGTAAAGATTCACGTGTTCGCGAAATTCGCTTTTGTGCGCGCAATGGACAATAGATTTGACGGAATGAATGCTAATATTGCTGTGTGTGTGTGTGTGTGTTTGTGGGTCGGATAAGAACTCAATAAACTTGAGCGAACCTGCAGTTAATGCATATGTAATTAGTCGTGCAAGTTGTCACGAAAACGCGTTTCGGAAACTGTGAACATCGAGTGGGGTCACACTATATTGACGCCCATACCAATTAACAGCAACTTTGTAATGTATCCGGGGCGAGTGCTGCGAGCGATCTACTTCTCTGACGTTGTTCGAGCCTAATGGAAGTAGTCATGGCGGTGTGACTGTAGTTAGTTTCACGATTCATTTCTGTAATGGCCCTCGGCTGGCCCGTTA